CAAAGTAGATGTTCATGTACTTTTTTTAAAGCACATTCCTCGCGTCTAGCCTACTGATAATGCCCGACTGATTAAACGATACAATAGAGAGCGGTTATGGAATAGGTAATAAACTGGTTGAAACCCAGGCCGTTTGGTAACTGCTATTAAATTTAATATTGTGTATGTGATTCAAATGATTTTATTCTTACTAAAATAAACAAATGAAACGGAGTGATGATTCTTACTATTTTATCTTTTCATACTAAACAACCTGACCATGTTTAAGATCACGTAATAATGTAATTTAAGTGACAATCTCTACAACCTTCATTCTAAAAACTGACCATTCATCGGACATGAATAACTTCTAACCACTAATGACCATACCACTAAACAACTAAAAAAGAAAAGAAAATTTTAAGGAAATAAAAATTGACAAAACTAAAAAATATTATCTTACGGTTATTTTTTGTTTTCTTATATTGGGATGTGACCGTATAGATATGAAGAATTAAGTATGAAAAATAGCATATTATTTCTTTATGCTATAATTAGAATGGTTTTGCTTGAATGTATACCAAAGATGATAAAGTAATGTAGGTGCATGTAAAAGGGCTCTGAATAAGTTCACTGTAAATGATCTAACAATTTATTTCAGTTTTAATTTTATTGTTTAGTTAGGTAAGATTTATTATTTAAACGCTTATAGTTTCGGCAATCTAAAATTAATATAATGAAATTTACTTCTCATAGTTTACCTCTATTCTTTACACCGTTTAAATAATAATCTCCTTTGAACAATCTTATTAATCAATAAATAAATTCTAACTTACAAGTTGTTTCTAGTTGATTACCATATGTGACTTACTTGATAAGAGTAGTGTTAGAAAGGTAATCTTTTTCTAAAGTTAAACAATTATCATGAAATCAGTGAATTCAATTAATCCTCAGCTGATTTTCTTCGACTGTATTGATAGGCATGTAAATACAAATACTATAAAAAATTGAGCAGGCTTATACACTAGAACATTTTGGTTATTATTGCAAGACAATTCGGACATGGAAGGTCATTTTGATAAACTATTAGAGAGGGAAGTCGTCTGATGGACCTTCAAGAACTTATAACCCTGATTTTATTAATCCTATTTATTAGTGAGATAACTAGTAATAAAATTGTATGTTAAGGGATTCTCTAATTGAAAAATAAAATGAAGTACATTATGATTTAACGTTAGTGAAAAAATATTTGGTCCTCTCTCATTCCAGCGGAAAACAAATTTTTCATTTGAATCGATGGTACCGTATGGTTTTCTACGTTTATTATATTCTCGATTTCCTGATATATATTAATAAAGCTGTATGTATGAAAGCGATTACTTGGACGTACTGCATATGTCGAATATACCTTTCGGGCTATCTTACAGAAAGTCAATCAAGAGAGAGCCATATGAACTTGAAATTCTCTTAGCATCATATTATGTGTAACATTGTTCTCGGTGAATTAGTTTATATGGTTTTTGAATTTTTACTAGTGAAACTTAAATTTAATGAATTAATTAACTTATCAGTGTGGGGTTGTGGAGATTGTTAATTCTTTGATTGAGATCATGAATCGATAAATGTTAGACTATCATTGAAAACCTGAAAGCACTGAACGGTCGTTCAACAGTATGAACGGATGAATTTGGAAAAAAACAACTTTTAACAAATAATTATAAATTAGTTTAATAATTTGTTTAATGAATAACCTTTCAATGAGGAGTTTTTTCCGTTAAGAGAGGCTTCACTTGAACTTCATTATATGAATTCTTTTTGCATTCTTCTCGTAACTAACTTAACATCTCAATTATGTCTTAGGTCTATTTTAATAAAAAGTTACTTGATAATCTGACAGTCATAAGAATAACATGTAAAGCTATAGTTTGCTCCAACCATAGAACATTAGCTATATATAATCGGTAAATGTGGTTGATTAATATCGATATTCTGTAAATAGTAAGCTTATAATTTCCAAGAAGTTTCTTCATTGCCCATCCAAAAACCAGAAACTGCAATTTTATATATCGAGCCAACTGAGAAAAACATACTTCACTGAAGTTTATCCATACTAACAGCATCCAAATACTTAACGGTAACCCTTGAAATATCATACTAGCAACTTTATCGTGAAGCCAATAGTTTCTGCATAAGATTACAGAAGTCACTAAGGTTGGGATCACATGAAAGCATTTTACCGAAACTTAACAAGTCACATTGCTTACAGTTAAATGAGCATTATTTATTACTTAATTTTATAGTAGTTATTACATTATAAACTTTGAACATAGGTGTGTAAGATATAAAACACTGATATTCTTTGCAACTAATTGATACAAAAGATAGTCAGAAATTTATTCTAAGTATTTTAGCTACTGAACAGTAGTATAAGTTTATCAGTAAATATCTAGGTTTTCGATGAATCACCTAAGAATAATTACAAGTTGCTCTTAATCTCTTAGATTCATACCCATTGTTCTTCACTGAGTAGTTGATTAAATTGCCCTAAGTTCATAATCTTCGTTGAGTGAGAACGGTGTATATCATGGATATGTCAAATGTAAAAAAGTGGTGATACTTATCTATTTACAATCATTTATTTTAGTATTTTTATTTTTACTATTCTTATTGATACATTTTGTCAAAAAGATACATTTATTTTTACTCTCGCTACTATTCTATACACGCCAAATGACCAAAATGGGTTTTAACAAGTAAACACTGATTGGTATCCCAAACAGTTTTTACTTGTAATAATCAGCGATAGTGTTATTTTTAAGTCATAAATAAATCACAGGCTGAATAATTTTTCAATGACAAATCTGGTTCCAATGTTTTGCTTATCAGACTATCTTGCCTATGTTATGAAAACGCGGAGACGCAAGTGTGCCAATATATACATGTGTGTGCACTGACAATCGAGCTCTGATAACCGCTCGTTCGTTAGCAAAAGTTTCATATCATTTTAAGCAATCTACACGACACATAAATTTCCCTATATTAATACACTTTGTTATTGAAATATTACAGGTCATTTTTTGTGCAAAATTGAAATGGAAGAAAAGCAATTATACTTTTATTTGTTTTATTGTATTTCTTGTCATTTGAGTAATTTGACGTGCTTTTAAAAAACGATTACATTACTCTTGAATCACTTTGTTTAACAAACCACAATATACAATCTATTATAGAGAGTCATTAGAGTAATACATTTATATGACAAGGCATGAATGGAACAAGATTAAACCTTGTACATTGATTTCCTACACTCACTACCGATTTGTATCATAAGCACCTTAGACGTCATTTTGTAATAATGTTATCAAATTGACGTATTCATTTTCTAAAATAGGATAAGAATCTTTTAGTATGACTAAAGAAACATGTAAATATAAAAATAACTTAGTCTTATATTAACGTAGATTTGTGTACAACCATTAAAAAATTCAGTGATTAGGAATTCATTTAAACTAAATCACATTTAATTTTGTGGTAGAGACATTGAAATTTTACATCTGGTCAACACTCAAAATTAACCTGATTACAAATTTCCCACGGATCAAAGTTGCAATTATCACATTTCTTGTGAGTTTTTAACTTACAGTAAAGAAAAGCAATACTGAGCAAAATTACGAAAATTTATTTTCTCTCGTGAGTTTCCCGTCGTCTACTTGATTCTAACCATATGGTCTTTCGCTACCATTTTGATCAGTATTCCAGAATAATCTATAGCATATGATTTGTTTCCAACATTTTATTCATTTAACTTTGTCTGAATGTTCACAACACCATTTTGACACTCGCTTAGGTTAAAAGCATTTCTTAAAGTGTTTTATACACATTTTGTAGTTTTGATAAATCACTGGTTGTAAGAGGTTGAAGAGAATCTAAGGAAGGAAAATGAACGGACGATATACTGCTCAAACTGTTCCTCTAAATCTTTTCAAGCTAACAAACGGAACTATGTCTACGAAATTATCTGATACAAAAACATTTTTAAATGTTTCGCTAAATGTATAGATCCAAGAAAAATCCTAGATACCAGCTGGAAGATCAGTACATAAGGCTTAAGAGACGAAGACATTGTTTCACTAAAAAACAACAGTGTTTTTTCAAAAAATGACAAGACATTATAATTTGATGCTTAAGAACATACTACTCAAGTTATTTTCAATTTATCACCAGTTAGTTAACTTAATAAAAGTTTTTAATTGGTGACATTAACATTCATTTTTTAAAAGCAAGTTACTTACGTGTAAGTGTGCTTTTTCTAGTGAAAAGATGTAACAGCATATAAGAAACAGAAGCCACCTGTGCACAATGAATAAAATACAATTTAGAGTGGTTGAAAACACATTGAGATACATGCACCATAGGTTAGTTTAAATGCTCATGTCACAAGACCAAGATCAATGATCCCACACAAATAATCAAGCATCTGCCTATCAGTACATAAGCAAAATAGTAGCCGATGGATGAAATCTGACAGCCTGCCAAGAGGATAACGATTTTGTCGTTTCATAGCATTCAAAAAATAAAACATGATCAGGCATAAAAAGAGGAAACGTTATAGTTGTTCTTTGGGTGCTTGTTTTTCTAAATCCAGATTATGTACTAATTGTAGACATTTTCCTTCTAAACTTTATTTCAAATCGTCATTTCGACCCATTGACATATCATCATCGCTCTCAATCGGAACGCTTCATTCATCATCTTCAACATCCCTTGAAATCCAATCATGGTATCATGACCAAACATCGGTAACCACTCCACGAAAATTAAAAATGAAAACCTGGAATGAATGTATATCAATATCATTATCTCAATACTCTACATCAAATGAAAACGAAATCGAAACAATAACTGCTAATATATTTAACGAAAATGACAACATAAATGATGATCAACAAATCATTGAACCTGGTATTTATGATGAATCATATTACGATCTAAAAATAAAACACCTAAATTGTAACCCAAAGTCAAAACAGGGTGATATTAATCAAAGTTTTCTACGAGCAGCTAGGGCAGGAAATTTGGAGAAATTACGTGAATTACTCAACAAAATAACAGACATCAACATCTCGAATACTGTGAGTTGTTTTCAATGAATTTTTATTTGATAATTCGTTAAATAACAAATAAAATTGTTGTCTAATTTGTTTTGTGAACCCATTATTTTCCAGCTAACACTTGGAATACAGTATTTACCGTGGAAGATTTTCTTACTAACTTTCCATCACGGCTGTACTTGTAAGTTTCAGGAGGGTTATGCAGAAAATGTAAACGCTAAGTTGTAAATGAAGGCTAGTCTTTCTTAAAATAGATTAAGCTTTCTAGCATTTTTCAACCGCTTTCAATAAATTAGATAGGTGAACTTCTCCCTGAAGAGTTATATGTTTATAAGGATAATCCAGTCCATCAACTAAATCTCATAATCAATTAGGTATCCAGAGAACTAAATGGACACTATTAATTGATGCAATTTGACTTCAGTATGTGCTAATTTCTAAAACAACAGTGAAAATCAGAAGAGGTGAAAACTGAAAGTAAACGTTTTAGAACGCAAGTAAGTTTTGATCTAAATCAGTTTATTCGAGTGATGCTTTGTAGATCAAGGGGTGTGCAATAAAAACATTAGTTTTAGCGTTGACCTGGTTTTAACGAGGGACCTAATATACCACAAATAAATTACAAGTTGTAAACTGATAAGTTTACCGTTTACTAAGTCAAGGAATGCATTATCGATGCACTCACTTGGATATTAATTTCATCTTTTTCACATGTCAAATGATTCTTTAAAATCATATTTGACTTGCAAAGCTATAAAATCAGTGTTACTCTTCTTAATTGTTTACTATGAAACAGTATTACTAACACAACACATTTTCACAAAATATGTTATATGAGTTACTTTTACATCCGAACATTAAATTATATAATAAAAACACTCCGTTACAAGACACTAAATTGAAATAGAATTTTTTAACAAGCAAAAGTACAAACGCGCTTAGAATGAGTGTATTTATTCAACATCTTTATAATCCAAGATTTTTTTAAACCAATAACTTAGCTCGTGCTCAATGAATTCATATAATGTGAGATTTTCTATGAATTCGATGAATGAATTTTATACAGAGACTATGTACCCTAGATTTACGTTTCTTTTAACTCTGACATGGTATTAGTATAAAGCAAATATACAGTGGGTCAGTGAACTTGAAATTTCTACATTTTTCAGCTACCCTATAAGATTCTTACTAGATGAAATAAATCTAATTAGTAGAATAATGAGATGCATAATAGTTCTTGATTCATAAAATAAGTCTGTCGATAGCGTAAAGAGCGTCTGAAAATAATGACAGTCTTCATAAAAAGTATTTAAATCGGTAGATTACAGCTTGAGGCACAACTTCAAAGATGATCAACAGAAACGTAACCCAAAAAATGTTCAAAATTTGGTCAACAATTTTTATATTTTCATAGTCTACGTACGAGACCGATGGTTTTAGGTTCAGTCCGTGAATGCAGGATCGAAGGTGTGCACTACAGAGGAGTTTCATACTAGAAGGAAACGGCTGTCCAATAATTTCAGGTTTTTGATGATGGTCTAGCTAAGATTTCCTGATCTGCAAAAAACATTGTATTCCTATGAAAACTGAAAGCTAAAACATTATGTAAAGTGAGATCCTCAAAGTAACTGACTTGTTTTCAAAAACGTTACTCACTGAGTGGGTTCAACATATATGATCTGAAAGAACCACTACCTATAGGTAGATGACAAGCATAACATACTTGTTTATGGTTTGACACTTATTACAAAGTTTTAAACTAAGGTCCAATAGGTCGCTAATTAAGGAAATTGTTCATATTGATTATAGCTTCTACCATAGAAAAAGAATATATCGTTAGTTACGGTGGGTTGTAAGGGACGTTTTATCCAGGAGATATATAAGAATTCAACGTGAAAATTCTTTGATATATCAAAGATTGTATTATGATAAGTAGAGTTATATTTAATCTAAAATCATCTAACCTGCTTGCACAGGAAACAACAGCAATGAAATTGTTTATATATTATGAGTACCTTTTTAATAATACAGCAATTAATTAACCCACCACCTCTCATCAGGTGCTTTTTCTAGCGACTGATGTGACCAGTAATCAAGATATAATACTTCGGTTCATTATTATGGAAATCCATATATTTGGACAATTCATTATTTCAGTCTCCTATAATGCAGATATTATACTACTTTTTCAATTGCTTAAGGTGCACATGAGATCTTACTTTGTTGTTAACCGATATTATATAAACAGCTCTTAATCATTACTTACTTACTTACGCCTGTTACTCCCAATGGAGCATAGGCCGCTGACCAGCATTCTCCAACCCACTCTGTCCTGGGCCTTCTTTTCTAGTTCCATCCAATTCTTGTTCATTTTTCTCATGTCTATTTCCATTTCTCGGCGTAATCTGTTCCTTGGTCTCCCTCTTTTCCTTTGACCTTCGGGATTCCATGTGAGGGCCTGTCCTGTGACGCAGTTGGGTGCTTTCCTCAATGTGTGTCCTATCCACTTCCAGCGCTTCTTCCTGATTTCTTCCTCCGCTGGGATCTGGTTTGTTCTCTCCCACAGTACGTTGTTGCTAATAGTGTCCGGCCAACGAATCAGAAGTATTTTGCGTAGACAATTGTTAATAAACACCTGTATTTTCTGGATGATGGCTTTCGTAGTTCTCCAGGTTTCTGTCTCTTACAGTAGAACTGTCTTGACATTTGTATTGAAAATCCTGACCTTGGTGTTGGTTGACAGTTGCTTTGAGTTCCAGATGTTCCTCAGTTGTAAATATGCTGCTCTTGCTTTGCCGATCCGCGCCTTCACATCTGCATCAGATCCACTCTGTTCATCAATGATGCTGCCGAAATACGTAAAGGTTTTTACATCTTCCAAATCTTCTCCGTCAATTGTGATTGGATTGGTGCATGCTGTGTTGTATCGGAAAATCTTGCTTTTCCCTTTGTGTATATTGAGACCTACTGCTGCTGAGGCTGCTGCCACACTGTTCGTCTTCTGCATCTGTTGTTGCGTTTGGGATAGAAGGGCCAGATCATCTGCGAAGTCTAGATCATCCAACTACATCCTAGATATCCATTATATCCCGTGCTTAACTTCAGATGCTGACGTCTTCATGATCTAGTCGATCACCAGGAGAAAGAGAAAGGGTGAGAGTAAGTAACCTTGCCTAACACCGGTCTTCACTTCGAACGACTTTGTCAACTGTCCTCCATGCACAATTTTGCAGTGTAATCCATCATATGAAATCTGTATGATATTGACTATCTTCTGAGGCACGCCGTAGTGTCGAAGAAGCTTCCATAGTGTTGTCCTATCCACGCTGTCAAATGCCTTTTCGTAGTCAATGAAGTTGATGTAGAGTGATGAATTCCATTCAATTGATTGTTCCACAATGATCCGTAGAGTTGCGATTTGGTCTGTACACGATCTATCCTTACGGAATCCTGCCTGTTGGTCACGAGGTTGGGCGTCTACGCAGTCCTTCATCCTGTTTAACAATACCCTGTTGAAGACTTTTCCCGGTATTGAGAGAAGAGTGATGCCCCTGTAGTTATCACACTTGCTGAGATCGCCTTTCTTTGGTTTCTTGACCAGGTGTTCCTCTTTCCAGTCTTTTGGTACTTGTTCCTCATCCCAAATCTTATTGAAGAGAATGTGGAGTATCCTTGCAGTTGCCGCTACGTCTGCTTTTAGTGCCTCTGCTGGGATGTTGTCCGGTCCTGCTGCTTTGCCACACTTGATTTGTCTGATGGCCATGCTGATTTCTTCAATTGTTGGTGGGCCAACATTGATTGGGAGGTCCGTGGGTGCTGCATCGATGTTGGGTGGGTTCAGTGGAGCTGGTCGATTCAAGAGTTCTTTGAAGTGTTCTACCCACCTGTTTTGTTGCTCTTCAATGTTGGTGATTACCTCGCTTTCCTTGCTTTTCACTGGTCGTTCTGGTTTGCGGCGATTTCCAGAGAGTTTCTTTGTCGTGTCATACAATTGTCTCATGTTTCCTTCTCTTGCAGCCTTTTCCGCCGTCGTTACTAAATCTTCCACATATTTACGTTTGCCGGTTCTGATGCTCCTCTTCACTTGTTTGTTTACTTCTGTGTATTCAGCTTGTGCCTTGGCTTTTTCTGCTCTTGTTCGACTGGTATTGATTGCTGTCTTCTTGTTCCTTCTTTCTTGAATCTTATCCAGTGTATCAACAGTGATCCATTCCTTGTGATGATGCTTCTTGTGACCCAGGACCTCATGACATGTTGAAGTGATTGCCTCTTTGATCCCCTTCCAGTTACTCTCCACAGTAGTTCCTTCTCCATTGAGTAGATCATGAAAGGCCTGGAACTTGTTGCTGAGGACTATCTTGAATTTGTTGAGTTTGTTAGTATCCTGAAGAAAGGCCGTATTGAACTTTTGTGATATTGTCCACCCCTTTGTCCAGTGTTTCTTGAGTTTCAATTTCATCTTGGCGACCAGCAAGTGATGATCTGATGCTATATCAGCTCCTCTCTTGGTTCTCACGTCCTCTATAGTCCTCCTGAACGTTTTGTTGATGCAAATATGGTCGATTTGGTTTTGTGTAGAGTGATCCGGTGAAGTCCATGTGGTTTTGTGTATGCGTTTATGTGGGAATATGGTGCCGCCTATGACCAGCTTATTGAAGGCACATAGATTTGCAAATCTCTCACCGTTTTTGTTTCTTTCTCCCAGTCCGTGTCGTCCCATGATGTCTTCATATCCAGTGTTGTCCGTTCCAACCTTGGCATTGAAATCTCCCATCAGAATGGTCAGGTCCTTTGTTGGGCACTTCTCGACGATTGACTGCAGCCTATTGTAGAATTGATCTTTAGCGTCTTCATTGTAGTCGTTGGTAGGTGCATAGCATTGGATGATGTTCATTGAAATACCCTCTTTCTTTGTTTTGAACGAGGCTTTGATGATCCTTGGTCCATGAGATTCCCATCCTATAAGCGCATTTTGCGCTTGTTTGGACAGCATCAATGCAACTCCTTGTGTATGTAGTGCATTTTCTTCTTCATGGCCGGAGTATAACAGGAGCTCTCCTGTAGTTAGTCGTTGTTGTCCAACTTGTCTCCAATGTGTTTCACTGATCCCAAGTACCTCTAGGTTGTATCTTCTCATTCCTGCAGCAATTTGGAAGGCTCTTCCGGTGTCCCACATTGTAGGAACATTCCATGTACCTAAATAAATGGTCGCTCTGGTTGTCAGAAGGGGCATCGGCCTCGTAACTTCCGAAAGAATTCGGCTTTCATCATGAGGCGTCATAATTCTTCTAAATGAAGACCTTCTGACTCCCAGGGCAGAGTTTAAAAGGTTTGAATAATTTTTTCTGGTTAGTGTTTTTTTAGCGAGTTAGTTTTCTACGGTATGGGGTCGCTAACCCCATGCCCAACCCTCCTCTTTATCCCGGGCTTGGGGCCGGCAGTAGCCCTCGGAGGGTCTCCAAGCGGAGTTTCTTAATCATAACCTTTTAGTAAAAGCCAGCCGGATTACAAAAAAAAGAACTATCTTACAAAAAATAAAATATTCAAAATGTTCTCAAAACCTAAAAACTGATATGAAAAAATAACCACACGTAAGGCGTTTACTACTTTCGAAAACTGTTTCGTTTGTTAAAATAATCATATCTACTAACCAACATTTTAAAACGAAGTCATCGAACAATATGAATCATACACCAAAAAGTATAGGAATTTTCGATATACATAATAAAATATTATGCGGATTTATAGATAATCTGTGATCTTAATTTCTAAATGTAACTTGACTACCCAAAGTTTCTTTATGTTCCTTTCATATCTTCAGTATACAGATAAAAGATTATTAACCAGTAGAATTTATGGAATTCCCACAATGCTATGACAGTGTATTTAGTAGATAAATATAATAATTATAAAAAGAGTAATAATCAGCCAACCTGAGTTCGAAACAATAAAACTGTGGCGGGTACATTACTACCGGACTCATGAATAGTTTGAAATCACCTATAATGCATTTTTTGTTTCTAATGCTGTAGGTATTCTTCAATTGCCATCTGCCCTTCTTAAAAGGCGGACTGAAAAGCAATTATTTCCGGCCTTAAAGAAAATTTACGAAAAACAACAATGGATACAGAAAATCCTTTTCTTCTTTTTAATCCGATTGTACGGTTAACTTATAAAACATTATGACACAAATCGATTCTTCTAATGAATGATAAGGATCATCTCATAACATAACCATGGCAACACATTCAGTCTAAGCCATGTTTAGAATCAGAATCATTTTTTGACCTATTTATAAGAATTTAGTGGTTCTCCAGATGGTATGTACTAGTGATTAAAACAATATTCAAACATAAGAAACCTGTTTTTGGTAATATGTGGACCGTTCTTCAAACTAGCTGCTAGTGACTGAAACTGAATAAATATTCATATTTTGAAGTCGGTTCTTCTAAGAAATGAAAAATCGTGACAGCCATTTTAATGGCAAGTGCTTTGCAGTCTGATTAGGAAGGTAATATATTGTGCTAGCTTTAAGTTGCCAGAATTTTTCAAAAATGACCTAAGGCTATATTCAAGTTCACCTTTTGATTTTAGTGGATTATTATTTTGGTATGAACCCTTAAAAATACTTTTAAAGAGTTTTCGGCTTATTCTAAATGTACAAATAAAATCAGGCGAGTGGCGCGACCAAATGAAGCGGCCGTAGAATGAACCTATAAACTGACGAATTTTATTAAATGAAAAAACACAACCCATCTCAATAGAAAAAAATTTCTAAGGATTAAAAGTCAATAAAACCTTTGGTTTTATTAACCCCAAAGTGTTTAATTAAGACTTTGTAAATTCACTACAGATAAACATACTTGTTTTTTCAACGACTTCATTAAATCACAAAGAAAACAAATCGGTTCAGAAGGCAGTTTGAATTCACGTTTCAAGAAGGGAATTTCTTATGAGGATTGAGCCAGATATACAAAGGTATTCATTCAATTTGTTGCGCAAAGTCGCATGAAACAGGACGAAATGGAATAATTTAGAAAAATTACCACTATATATTATATTTAAGAGTGATGAATGCATAGCTTATTTGGTGGTATACAGTCCTTGGAAATATGAGACATACCAATATAAAGAAAAAGTGGCGAATCACTTACTTAAACACACAAGATTAGGTACTTCAGAAATTGTTATAATGAGAGTAAAGTAAACGTACTCTGATTCTCTCTGATGTACTCATCAGTGGAAGAATCTTAATAGACAAGTATCTCTATGATAAAGCTGTCTATGTGTCGATAACTATAAAATTGACAACTAAGGTAATTATAATATTCAAAGTCAGTGTATTCTGCTTATCTGTTTAGCTTACTAGGCTCCATCCATCGAGTCTAAACACTGATAGCTACAAGCTCAGAATCTAAGTTTTAGATTGACTGACTTTTGAAAAAATTTCTATTCCGGAAGGCACATTTTAATCACGGATTGTAGACAAACGAAGAATGAGTGATTATAAATCAGTAGTCAGGACTCCTCGCAAACAAGTACCCACAGTCCCATGCGATATCGAGAGCAAGATATTCAGATATTGTGGAAAGCGCAAAATCATTGAGCTGCTTATTGGAAATCCGGTAGTTCCTGTCTTTGACAGGACAGTAACAATGTGAGATTTGATATAATTTCCGCAAACCTTATTAAATAATAATCATATGTTAATTAGTAATTAGCTAGGAGAGAGAAATTTTGAGGTTACAATCGGAAACTATTGCCTGTGGAATTAAACAGTATATGCAACGTCTACTGTAAAACCTGTAAAACTTGATTAACCTAATCAGTCAAAAGTAGTTGTAGTTGGAATGCCCTTTTCGAACTTAGTCGAAACATTTACAGCTTAGTCATGAATTTTAGAGTTTCAAACGGTATATGTTTACAGAAATAAATTAGCTACCAATACGGAGACGTTCCAATAGACTGGCTATGTTGAGTGTTTATGGTGTCTTTTGGTTTATGCTACCTGCTGAGAAATAGATCTTTTGGCATAGAGAAACATTTTGAAAAAATATGCTTCAAAATGAATCAAAATACCTTCCTTATTTCTGAAACTCAAACATTATCTCTGTTTAAAACTTTTTATTGGTTAGAAAATCATGACTTTCAAACTATTACCATAGCGACGTAAGGATAAGCATATATGCTTATATAAATTTTTCTTATGTTTTTTATACTTTGAAATTACGGAAGCTAAATTTAGAGCTATATTTTTTGTCTCATTGATTATATGGCTTCTGGTTTGACTTTTGTATTAATGAATATAAGGAAATTGTTTTGATTACATTTTATTCACTTAGAATTCAAGCTGAAAACTGAATTTTTTGTTACCCCTTTGTTCACCAATGAATTACTTTAAAATGAATATTAGACAATCTTCATAGAATGATGAGTCATATAAACCAGCCAAACCAGAAGTGAGAAAAAAATGTCAATGATGTGTTATATATCTAGAGCTTGGAACCTTTCAACCACTGAATCCTGACTGAATAGTTATATAGTAATGCACTCCTCTCTGATACTTCACTTAGGGTATTTTGTTTTGAATGCATTGATCACACTACTGAGATGCCACAAACCAGAATAAGGCAATAATTAGTGCCTCCCAGTTTTCAGCTGTTCTTTCGACATTAGTTTTCAGTGAAAACTATCTTCAAATCCTTTATTTGGTATGGCCTGAATACCGTATGTAGCATGTATGAAACATTTCACCCCAGTTACTTTGAAACCTCTATTTTACAACCTTAGGTTTGATAGAAAAGAAACAGCACACAATAATACGAAGAAAAATAAATAGAAAAACAGTTTAATAAGGTTTTCATAAAAAATCCAATCATAACCTCAGAATATTAGTTCTTCAATTCGTTTATTTGGTCAGAATGTCCAAGCAATTAAAAGAAAGAGTTAACAAGCAAATGATGTTCATTAATTCTGATAAGTCGATATAAATCCTCACATTATTTGTGTTGCCACATTGAGGTTGGTAAATATTACCTCTATGGTGTGAATAACCAGCACTAACGTGTCATCTTGAAACAGTAGAATAACATTGACCATAAAATGTTTTGTATGTATTTTATTCTCATTATCAGACTTTCAACCTTCATATTTATCTTTTGTATTTCTATTTTTTACAGAACGGACTGAATGCGCTACACTTAGCATGTAAAGAAGGCCGAACTGACGTTGTAAAGGAATTATTATCAAATGGCGCGTCAGTTTATATGATCACAAGAAAAGGCAACTCTGCTTTACATATTGCTAGCCTTGCAGGACATCTAGAGATCGTAAAATTGTTAGTTGACCATGGGGCTGATATAAATGCACAGTCTCAAGTAAGAAGTTCAGTAAAATAGTTTAAATGCGGCTTTATATGGTAGCAGTACGTAAAATATTTACTTCAGTAGGTCATCAGAGGATATGTATTTAATTTGCTTTAAGTACCCAGGGTTAGCTTTTATGCTTGATAGGCTAGTTCCATTCAAAAGTGTATGTCAGGACACATCATCTTTATAAATCTTGAAATATCCCAGCCTCATGCAAAGTTGGGTAATCTTGTTATTAATGTATATTCTAGTCTTAGATGACAGACGTCCCTTTTAAAGGTCTTTATATTTTAAAGCTGAAGGTAAATAACTTATGTCATTCATTGAATAGGTATCTGAAAATCATAACTGTGTTTTTATGTAATTACAAAACTGTTGTAACTTGTGGCTTTGTGCCCAATTAATATATAACATAATGATACTTCTAATTAGAGAACAGTGATTTATCGACCGGACAAATGACGCGTAAACCCGTACGAGCAGTCTAGAGTACTTACCGGTCCTTCTTCCTGCCTAGCCCTGCCTGTTGAGTCCAGAACACAAATCTCAGCCTCTGAGATATGAATCATGTGTTTCAAACATATTGGGTTTATATGCAAACCAAACAGACCACATCACATCACAAAGTGGCAAACAACATTTGTACAAGATCTATCCAAAAGTGGCTGTGAATGTGGGAGACTGTAATTAATAGACCGGGTATAACTGCAGAACGGTAAACCATATAATAATAGTCTATGGGTCAAAATAACGCTTATAATAAGAGAAACATGAATATGGATAGTTTAATTACTTAAAAATTATACAACAAAAATATATGTATAGTAACTGTTCATAAATGGATCCCAACAGTTACCATTCAATATTCTCGTCGGGATATAACAAAAAGAGTAATTTTTAACTTTAAGTGTCTTAAAAGGTATATTTTTAGTCAGACAGTTCGAAATATATTGTGTTAATCTATCATGTAGTATTCTCTTTGTATGATCTAGAGAGACTAGTTTTTTTAAAGACAGTGGTATGGCTAGTATTTGTAGAACATAGCCTATTCGCTTCTGTGTTTATCATACTGACGGTAGTTTGTATGGTAATAATTTTATTAATGAAACACAGTTAGGCCAATTGAGACTTGTGGGGGTTGTTGAAAACTTAAGTAATTCGAATCACACTCAAATTAACCAAAAATGACCATTTTCTTCTGTGACATAACTTTGAAAAAGTTTGAAAAGTGATGAACAACAACTTCTTAAAATAGGAAGAAAGAGACATTTAGTATCATTTCTTTTACACAACACAATTTCAAGGATTTTATGAATAGAATGTCTTAAAATACTTCACCTGTTTTGTGACGTGGAGAACCACCACTAAGATTCGAACCGTCAGTGTAAGACTATATGTTACCCGGCATATACTAAAATTGGTCAGTAAACTCCATTTATTTAACACAGAGTAATGATCAAATACATCTACTTATCACAAATAGATCCAGTAGACAAATATGCATTATTTCAGGATGCTAATTTTCTAACTGAAAAGAACACTTAAAAGAAGTATATCGAAGTGCAAAACAAGATCATAAGTTCAAAAGAAATGCTCAGATATCAAAAGATGATTATTTAATACAAGTTTGATACGCATAAACCCATCTAACGTAGACACTGGATCACTAACTGCCGATTTTTAACATTTTATATACTTTGCCTTGGATATTTACAGTCTACAAAGCGTCGTCTAAGCGTAAAAAGGTTTCCCACGCTATTCAAATGCTCCATTTTTGTACATCAGATTAGCTGGTAGCCAGATTTTCAAAATTTCTGTTCAATCATTACTATATTAGAGATTACTTGCAAGCCATTTAACCAAGACCACTCTTCATTTCTTAGTCACTATGACATCGCCTCCACCCCTTAAGAAGCAAAATAATCATCATCTCCCAGATCCTTAGTATTGCACTCAAATCATGCTGCATATGCAAAGTATGTTTTTTAACAGTGAACACTTTGATGCTTATTCTTCCATTTAGTTGTGATATAGAAACAATTGGAATTCAGAGATTACTTCCTGTTTGTTAGCTGTAACAGATAATTGTGTATCAAAGATAGCAAGCCAATGAAAAATGAGTTTTCTTTATGTTTTTAGTGTTTCTGATATTTTACTGTGTTGGGATTGGATACAAATCGTAAACTAAATAAGGTTTTTTAATAATTATCATCAACAAATTATCCTACGTATTGGTTGTTCTTACTGTTTGGGAAAAGAGGGGATGAACTACAAAGACTTAAGGAGGAAGTGAAATTGAAGAAAACAATATAAGCAATAGGAGAAACTTATGAAAAGAAATCATTTCAGGTGACACTTGTGTCTGTAAGCGGTGTAATTTATTGATCTTATGAGAACTGGATAAATGGACTAACACAGTGATTTCGTGCTGATGTTATTACATAGAAACAGAATACTTAATTGAGTAATTGACATCCTTACGCTAATTAATTATATGTTATTCACTGGTGGACTACAATTAATGATCTTCAATGCCTAATATTTGTAAAACTGAAACTGAGGCGGTGTAATTTATATAAAATGACATCTTGTTTATGAAAATGTTGTTTAATGCATAAGATTGAGTCGATTTGAATTTCTTTTCATTCAGAACGGATTTACACCTCTTTACATGTCGGCTCAAGAAAACCATGTTGAAGTTGTTCAGTACCTTCTGGACAAATCTGCTAATCAGGCTTTATCAACGGAGGTTGGTTTAATCATGTTTAATTAAAACCGTTTGTATTTACTTTTAATAAATTATACTCTTTAAATAACATCTCCAAACACTAATTTTCCTGATTACTGCTTATACTCTTATTACCTCTACCACTACGGGACTTGAATCAACCACTGCATCTCTGTGCTAATGTGGTGTGGCAACTCGAACTGATGTACGTACGTACGAAGTTCTGCGTTGTTACTGACTGACTGACTGACTAATAAATTAGCATTGCATTATTTTACTAAAGAATTAAAGATATGAAATTATGGAGAATATTTGGAGTTTAATTGAATGCTCTTGGTGGTAGTGTGTTATCAGAGCTCAGTGATTTTAATGGAAACATTCATTGTCGTTCTGATAAACATTTTTAGCCCCTACTTCATGTAGATATCAGTGAATGTTTTTCAAATAAATCATATGGCTAAGAGAACACATCACTTCAAAAAATACAGATTTGCTAACTGGTTGCAAAATTATTTGAATTTGTATCAAGTAACATATTATCTATAATATTTCTCACACATATACTTTTTTGGTGATTTTCCATTTATTTTCGAACCAAATCTTTATTTGTAAGCGTTTCCGAGGGTGTCCTCAAGTGACTTTAATACTCATTAGAATTCATCTATGAAGAGACTCCGGCTACTAGTTTCAAATGATGATCTCAATCATGCTTACTTAGACGTATAAAGTGGAGACTTCAAATCAGAAGGACTCTGATGTACTACTTATTTATTCAGACAATAAATAACCGTTCTCCTTAGTCCTAAGAAAAAAAATGGTTCGGGGACTCATGTAGATTTGCTTGCCCTTATGATATGTTGCGAATAATTAGGTTCCATTATTGCCATTAACATTCATTGTAGCTCTTTAAAAATAAACCATCATCTTTAAAATGAATGTGATTCTTTTTAAGCTTGACTTATTCTTTGTTTTATATGGTAAATCTAAAATGTACTGGGTCATTCTACTCTTGTAATTGTTTTTTGTTTTACGAATCGATGAGTGAATTCTATCTGTCATCCTTCATAATCAAATCCTACCAGCGAAGTTTATTCTTAATGAATTAATAAGGAAACTAATTTCAACCGGTTTCTAACCACAAAAGCAACAAATAAATAGGGGAAATCATCAATAAACCGATTTTTGTTGAAAGTTGTAGGCATGAGTAAATGGTTCCCACACATTTATCAATATTTCTTAACTTCAGAGATATTCTCCTGGAGTTTCCGTCAATTATTGATCACGTGTGAATAAAAAATTTTTTCAAGTATTAGAAGAATTTCAAAATGCTTATTCTAAATAAATCGATGTGATGAATGTATGAATCAGCTTAACTGATTACTTGTCATAGTATTCATTGAAAATGTTAAATGTAATTTAGTGGTTTATATCATAAGAAAATCTTGATTAACAAAACTTTAACTGTGTGTCAATACTTGGCATTTATTCTAATCATTTTTTAACTGTTTCAAAATAATATCTACTACTCAAATAGCCTTACAGTTAAATAATCGTTATTTTACAAGTTTCTATGAAAAGCGTTGGTTAGTTTAACAGAATAACCAACGGATTATATCGTTATTTAATGACACAGCATTTTTATTTTTCGTTACTATGAATTTCTTAATATTAGCTTTCCTTTAATAAAAGAAAAGGTTTGAAAGTTATCTCTTATCTACAGAGTAATCTATTTTGATTATCCTTTCAAGGAAAGTTATTTCATTACATACAATGATATCAAATATTTGATGTTCAAATGGTTTTGTGTAAACCTTTCCATTACCTGTTGTATGTTATTTCCATTTTTTTAAAAATGAATTCATTATACATTTTAACTATAGACCATTGAGTAAAATCAATGATGGTGTGCTAATTAACTTTGCGTGAGATAATTTATAAACTGAGTAAAAACTATCTGCAGACAAGCTTTTTACTGAGGGTAAACAAAATTCATGTCTCATAAAAACTACTGTTTAATTTATTAATAATTGCATTACGAATCTTAGTGACTAAAAATTAGTGTATAATCTAAGGTTTCCATAAAATAGGCATTTACTGGAAATCGGGACAGTGATTTATAAAAATATCTAGTTGAGATAACTCCATTTAAGTTCCTGCCTTAGGAACATTAAATAATCATATTTTTGGCTAAAAGGTCAACTATTCTAACATAACGAGTAATATAAACAACGCCTTCTGGTAAGTAGAATTCGAAATGGTTGGCATCACCATTTAACAACATAATCTGATGTAGTTTCTATTAAAATAAACTACTCGCAATGTATGAAGCAACAAGTATACTTTCTGTGACCATATATTACCTTGCGATTAGGTTTTATTTATAAGATTATTAAATTTGAAAATCTACACCTAAATGTCACCACCTTAACTGCAAAGCTTGGTTTGTTTTAAAATATTTGTATTCTTTATCAGGATCAGGGATAAAGTGTTTTTTTATAACTTTAGTTCAACTGACAGAATTAAGGGTATAGCAACAAAGAATTTGAATATATTCGACCGTATCGAGAAATAGAATTATATACTTTCTTAGGAAATCAGATAACTCCATTAGCTGTTTAAATGTTTCTGAAGTATCTCTCCATAGATCGCATGTGGGATTTTTTGGAAGTGAGGTAACGATCTTAGTAAAATTCTCGGTTTACGGGATTTTGGTATACCATAAAATTGACGGAGTACAAGTTTATTAGATTTTATTTACTATTAGTTTTGTTTTATTAATTGCCCTGCTTTTATTAGTTTATTAGTGGTCTTGTTGATGTAATTACTCAGTTTTTGATTACATTAGCTTCATCAGTTGCTATAATCAGTTACTCAGCCCCGTTAAAGTACCCCTTAGTATCCGGAATCGATATTTTATTTAGACAAATAAAGAGGAACAATCCTTTTGACATCAGTCATAATACAGAAAGTCAGTTAAGGTCTTTCTTTACAGCACAACTGAGGAATATTCTACAATGTAAAGCTGAACCCTTATGTAAGCTTGTTGTTGACACTCAGCTATGGATTACAATAATTCGGTTATTATGGGCATTAAATCCATACTTAACCCTAATGTGATCATAGTAACACTGTAGACGTCTTAGTAGTTATCATAATGAAAATGAAGGTTGAGCAAATACGTTACCAGATTATTAGTGTCTATTTATTTTGGAAATGTTTGTCAAATACCACCCTTAGTTTGCTGCTCAAAGCAAAACAGCAGTGTATGTAAAGTATGAAGTTCAGGAATTCAAAATTTTTCATTTATTTCTCATATGAACTGTTTAAAGTTCCCGAGTCATTGAAAACATAATACCCATTTTTAGAATCTAGACATTTGAAAAAGTTAACGAGAGGTACATCCTATCTGCAACATATTCACGGCTATTTTGAAATTTATTTTGGTCATCAATAAGGATTAGGTATATGATAACCCATCAGTGATTGGCTTGTCTGGGTTTATTCACTTGTTTTAATTTATAAACTAAACAGATTTAATCAATCATACATAACATATCCTGTTTTTATGAACTCCTTTTGCGTACATTCTTACATTAAACCCTTGTGAAGATAAAACTAATTATCTTACCGATGCCTCCCAAGCCGCTTGTAAGTAACCGTTTCCGAATACAACGATAAGGAAAAATCAATAGAAGAAATAAAATAACTCTTAATCAATGTTGGATATGATACAAAAGTAGATTAGTGAAAGGTAATACATGTTAAAGAATAATAAGAATCGTTTGTAGGTTTAATGTATAAATATTTAACAAGATAAAATTATGAAGGGCATTAAGATAGGTTTTTAGACATAAAAATCTAGCGTCATAAATTTTGTGACACAATGGTTGTATAGCAAGTTTCAATGAATAAGGTTCATGCAGCAAGCAACATTGAAATTTACTTAACCTATTTTAAATATTACCGAAATAAACTTGCTGTTTTGAATCATGAAAGTAAACTGAATAAAATAAGAATACGAAAGTAATTACAATTTATTTTCAAATAAGCTAATAATGAAGAAACAATGTGAAACAATCTTTCTGGTAGTACTTATCGTATAACAGTACAGATACATTTATCATTCTGTTTGGTGAAGAAGTTTTTTTTGTCGATATCACTAATTCCGTATAACCTCAACTTTAAACTAAAATGTTTCCGTTTTGTATTTTCTATACACTGAGATTCCCAAATTAATGCTTATTTACTATATCATGTTTCCCTATTTGCTTTATTCAGGATGGTTTCACACCACTTGCAGTGGCACTACAGCAAGGACATGATCGTGTTATAAGTCTGCTACTGGAAAGGGATTCTCGCGGAAAAAGTCGCTTACCCGCTCTACATATTGCTGCGAAGAAAGATGATGTTCATGCTGCTAAATTGTTACTCAATAACAGCGAAATAAATGTGGATCACACATCGGCTGTGAGTGCTTTTTGCAGATACTACGTATTGTTTTACACACCAAATAAGGATGATTTCGACTGCGTTATCAATATTATAATAAAGTTGCCTGTGATAGATATTATTTTGAGTTTATTTATTGAAGAGGAATAATCGTATAACTATGGACTAATCAGTAACCGTACCACTCTGATAAATATTAATTTAATCAAATATGAATAGGACTGTTAAATGAAGTCGTACAAAACAATGAGTGACGAATTAAACATTTTGAATTTTTCGTAATGCAGTAAATTATACAGCACAGTTTCTTCGTTGTATCTACATAAATCCACAGCGAATACGAAGTACATCGAAAAGTTAGCCCCCTGAAAATAGAACTAAACATGTCGAAACGTATTAAAAAAGCTTCATTTCTGGATCGCTACCTTCAAAGAATGTGTTCGAACGCTTATTTTCAGTTTGATTTCTTTCTTATCATAAATACCACTGTTATATGATAGAATCTCATGAGGATATCACCTAAAAACCTAAAGCATTGATTTAAAAGGCTTTCTTACATATTCTCGATAAATATTTTGGACGGAATTGCGTAATGTGACTACAGAATATACATAATATTTTTTCAGTCATGGATGTCAACCTTACTTCTTTAGATTGTATTACTTCCTGTCATGCCCTTGATAAATATGCTGAAAAATGCTAGCCTATGACTCACATATAACTGAATTAATTAAGATTGCATCGAGAGGTTTTAAAGTTGAAATGGTTTAAGTTGATCAAACCATATATAAAATTAAAACTAGAACCTTGTTATATACACATTTATGATATTCATTGGAGTTATTACTTATATAGTCTTTCATTCATCATTTGTTTCATAGCAGTATAGCACGTTTACTTGCTAATTTTGTGATGTCATTATACTTTTACAGAGTGGATTTACTCCTTTACACATTGCCGCTCACTATGGGAATGTTAATATAGCTAAGTTGTTGATTGAGAAAGGAGCGAATATTAATTACCAGGCAAAAGTAAGTCCCGTTTTTATCATTACTCGATCCAGTATCTTGTTAAAGAATCAATTAGTTTCAGAGATAATATATAATCAGATCAGTACTGACCAGTTGATAAGTTTGATCTCAATGACATTTCAGTTATTCATGTATACATATAGTATTGAACCAAAAGAGTAGTTAGGACAAGAATGGATTATGGCTAGGTTATGAACTCAAAAGAGTTTGGTATTCTCAATCAATGATGTTGAAAACTTTAGGAACGCAAGTTAAAAACCTATTAGTCGTTAGTTATCTGAGAAATATATTATCTATTTCAGGGAATACAATGATAAAATTATTTCTAAAGATGGTTGCATTTTAAAACTAGATTAACTAATTTTTAAAAATTATCACTTTGTTGAACTGCCTATAAAAAAAAAAAGAAAAATACGCTTTTCAATGGATTATTGTCAAGTCCTACTGTCATAATTTCAATTAATGACAAAAAGGAATTTATTTCACTTTGGATCAAACTCATTTTTATTAGCATGTAAGTAAAATAGGTTTTTTAAAGTCTGTTACTTAACTTACGTAAGGAAAATATATTCTTCAGTTTTGCCTGAGTGTTACAACATATGACATAGTCACTAATGAATTTTGATAATAGTTACGCAAGAATGAAAGAAATATTGTTAGTAATTATTCTACATATAACCAGTCACCAGTGAATTATAGGTCAAATTAATAAAATTACTATACTGTAGAACTTCCGTTTTATCTCTCACCTTATATAGAAGACATTGAGAACTGTGGAAGTAACATAGTAAGTAAGAACGTTTTGTTTAAATAGATGACCTATGAATCTTTGTCAACCTAGATTAATATTCAGAACCTAAGACAACTGATCTTCATAACTCGTATTGATAATTCACACGGTGTATCTGTAACAAAGAAAATATGTGCACTTCCCCGACCTCAGTGATTGATTATATGGATTCTTAGTCTCCGGTACTGTGACACAAATGTTATTTATGTGGTATATATTGTCTAATAATTATACTTACATCTTAGCGTCTTATCTTATTTGTAGGGTTAAGGTAGTTTCAACTGCCCTGCTTCTTTTGTAATTATATCCATAAATGTCTTGGATAACCTTCAAATCATTTACATTTCACTTGACTGGAAACTATAGTTGAAGGATTTCTCATTTGAGTTTTTACTATGGAATTGACGTAAGCTGGTAACACAGTAGTTGAAAAATTTCCTTCAAATCCCTGGAAAAAAATCATACTAACGTTTGTGTAATGAAATGAAAGGAAGGTTTTTTCTAAATGTGTCCGTTTTACATAAACGATATCCCAAATATGAAGTATTAATCATAATTTTGATTTCTTTCTATATATGATGGAACAGAATTGTATAACACCGTTACATGTAGCTGCTAAATGGGGAAAGAACGAAGTTCTAAGCGAATTGATACTAGCAGGAGCTGAAGTAAATAGTCGTACGCGAGATGGACTAACACCTTTACACTGTGCATCTCGTGCGGGTCAAACTGCTACGGTGGAATATTTATTGAAAAATGGAGCTGATCACACTTTGAAAACAAAGGTACTTTCCACACTTTTTCTATGATGTACAATTTAATTAGTATATAGTTTATAGAAAATAATGTGAATACTGAATAAATATGACAAGTCGTACTGTCAGTTGTTTGAGGTTAGACATAACCTTTAACCTTAGCATATATTAAGTATGTCATCTGATGCTAAGAGGGAATCATATTTTTAACAAAGTGTACTTTATTTAAAAAGTAATGACTGGAGTAGAGTAGTCATTCACATTGATAAGGTTATATTTTAAACCGAAGTTATATGAAACCTATATATAATTTACTGTATTTTGATTAAGACAGTAGGTAAATTATGATAGGACTGGCTGGTCGTGTTAATTTGTTGACTAACGACTTAACAGATCACTACATTGGATATTATAAAATAACTTGTTTGAATAATTGGATAAGTAACTTGCATTTCTAGGATAGAAGACTGCAATTTTATGTTTAAACGTCTGATATATTACCTATTAAGCCACCATCAAACTTCAAATGCATTCGGGATTTTCGCAAACATTTAGAGGAGCTGAACTGATATCCGATACTAGAAATATACATCAGAAATTTTTATTGAGATTGGGCAGTTAAATTATTTTACTCATCTCAATAAAATATGGCATTTGACCGTTATCTGGCAAACACATTTCGTGACAATTGGAGAAATATTCTGACAATATTTAGTGTTATACAAGATCAAAGTAACATGAAAAGAAATGACTGTTGTGTAATTTGTTTACACTAAATTTTCATCAAACTAAATCTTCAAACAGATTTACAAGTTTTCTATACATCAAGACCCTATCATTCAATACCAATCACAAGTTATTAATAACCTTATCTTTAATTATTTACTTTATATCAAAACAATACAAAGGTTCATTGAGATGTGGACTATCTAATTATCAGTTTTTAATAAAGTTTTCACAGTAGAAATACTGACGAGATTCGCACGCTTTCTTTCCAAAATTTGTAAAGTTAAATCTGACATGTTCATTTTTAATCTTGGAAAATAGTTGAATAAGTGGTACTAATAATTCCCACACTTTTATTATTAATCTTTTATAAAGATGATACATAGAATCATCATTGTGACTAGAGTATATAAAATACTTTTCTTCTTTGTGATATTTAGATGAGGTAGTTAATAAATTCTAAGAAGTGAAGAAACTATAAAAAATAATTCAATACTTAATATTCTTAGGATAAATGTTTCAACATTTGAATACGTAATTCTATTTCATATGTTTCTGTACATTTTTCTTGGCAGAATGACTTGACGCCATTGCATTTAGCTGCACAAGGTGCTAATGAAAGTGTTGTACGATTACTATTGCGGAATGGTTCTAATCCGGATGATGTGACCATTGTAAGTTACAAATAATATTTAAGGCATACTACATTAAGACCAAAGAAAACGTTGAATTAGTGTTGCTCCTAATAATAATTTGTGTTACCATAACAACTTATAATTACTTTTACCGATATTTTGATAGTATAGCATGCTTCTACCAATTAGAAACAACCTACTTAAATATTCCTTCATCTTAACCTTGATTTATCGATTACTTTTCTCTCTAAAGGACGTCATTTGTTTTGAAAGCAGATTTTATACAAGTACTTGTAAAACAAACTATAAGTAACATTATTTCCACTCAAATAACAAAAGTAAACTTGTTTGACGTCAGAAATAACTAGACATGGAACCTTTCAATCATTGTCTCAGAATAGAGACAATCTTCAAGTCAAGCTCATTTTTAGAATCTTGCGTTATAAATCAGTATCCTCGAGGGATCTTGGCCTTCGATGTCATGTTTCGTGAAAAGTCTTAAAGAAATCTGTGGCTGAAGAAACATTATTACACTGTGAAGGAAAGTACTCTTCAAAAAATATTCTTAATTCGTCATTTTGTTTTTTCATTTGGAAATATACAAAATAAGAAAACTTGAAAGGTTTGTACCAAACCCTTATAATCGTTATTGTCTAATGGTTAAGCACTGCACCTGTTATTGTCTGTTTCTAAAGCATCTACTGGTACCTAAACAACTAAGTATCGTTATAAATTGAATTTAATTGCGTTTATGTAAGATGGTCACCTGTTATCATCAGCAGTATGTCTAACATAAAAAGGAATTGTTAACTGATATTTATATCTTACTTTAGTCATCTGAACAACATTCATTCATAGTATCGTCAATTTACCAACAAATTTTCGTTGCATTCTTTGAAAACCGATGTACAAATCATTAGTCTTCCGAATTTCCAAGTTATGGGAAGAGAATGCTGAACAACCTTTGCTACCAAGAATTATGTAGTTCACATACTGTTTGAGTTGGAGGTAGCGATAATTGTCAATAGAAATTGCAAAAATCTTATAAAAATCCGTTTCGATTAATGTTTTATTTAATATTAACCAAGTGTGAAACAATAATTCAACTATATCACTCGTTAACAACGAGTTTACTTATGACCCATTAATAATTAACCGTAAATGAGGATACTACCGAGAATATAAAGCATAAAAACTTAACAATTTGTCAGACCATTTAAATCATCTCTGTCTTTTCGTCTCATAGGATTATCTCACCCCTCTACATGTTGCAGCCCATTGCGGTAACGTGGACGTGGCTCGTGCTTTATTGAATTCCCATTGTAATGTTAATGCAAGAGCTCTGGTAAGTCAACCAAAGCAATAACTGGTAAAGTAAAAATTTGCTTATACTAAAATAAGAACGTGAACAAATTTATCACTTGAAGGCTTATCAGAAAGGCAAAAACAAATATCCAGATTAGTCCAGCTGCTGAAGATAATGATTTAGTTCATTTGTAAACTAAACTGTGTACTGTAAAGGTTGGAGAGTGATCTAGAGGGTTATATGTACGGGAAAATGCTTATGACTGACAAATTATGAAACTGACTTTGAAGTTGAACTTAGATTTTAGTTGAAGAACTCCTCTTTATCACGATATAGCAACGAGTGATACAATCACAAGTCTTCCAAAATCGCTCCAATGAATATTCGCTTAGTGGCCTTGTGAATAGAGCCGAAAAATGTTTGGATTATTGAGCGTTAAAAAAACACTGAAGCCCACGGTGATACTTAAATTATATTCAGAATACATAATAATGAAATTAAAAACAAACAAGGCACAATAATCAAAAGTGAAAAAAGTATGAAATTTGACATCAGTTATAAGTTTTATAATGACAAACAGAATGGAACAGCGAATCTATGCAATAGATTATGCAGCGTCAACATAAATCAATCATTTTGGCAGTTTATCGCATTGGCAATTGTATGCCAAAAACGTCAAACAAAGTTATTAGGATGGTGGAAGCACTAGTTATTCAGATTGAAAGACCGAAGCTTCGTGTACAAAACAAATTTATTTAGTCTCTTCTTTTACCCTGACCCATCTCAGGCCCAATAAGCCAGTGGTCGTATCAGTTTCACCAATATACATTCGGTCTTCCCCTTTTGTATTTTCATATTTCAAATTCCTGTTATTCGAATATTGTTACTGTAATTGTTATTATTACTACCAGTATTATTATTATTATTATTTCACATGACCTTGCGTTATTATTATTATTATTATTATTATTATTATTATTATTATTATGTCCACCATTATTATTAGTCTTGTAAGCACATGAAGAAACTAGTTAGGATTAACCCCATTTTATTGTTTCCTACTTAATTCCTACCATTTCCTGCACTAAGTTATCTTCCATTAAACATCTGATGCAATTTATACCCACATTATTATTTCTCTCACTTCTTGTTATCCATATTTATTCTAACTAATAATCTCACAAATCCAACTGACTCATATACTGATTCTAGTTAACAATACATGCTAGTCATTTCAGCCTTAATCAGTTTATTTTCTTTTCCGAACGATCCTAAATTCACATTTCATAATTTCAAAAGATGTATTTGCCTTAAACTCGGTAATTTTTTGTTTGATTGATTTGGATATATGTATAACTACGTAGCTTGAAGAGAATTTGTTGGAAAGAATATTCTTCATTCATCTTTCTGTGTTTTCAGTACCTCTAGGATTTTCAAACAGCTTATTTAACTGTCGAAAATCACTTTATAATTATCTCCAACTTAGGCTGTTTATTATAAATCACTAAACGTGAACATGGTCAAAGAAATAATGATTGACGTTGGATACCCCAAATCGTCCACTCTCAGCTTTCATAACCATTTTGTATCCAGGTCAAATACAATCGATACATATACAACATTAATAATAATAACAACCTAATGAATGAGAATTTCAATAAGTTGTCTCAGTGAGTAGCTGTTTATTTTAGCTTTTATTCATACCAGTTAATATTCCGAGAAAGCCACGTAGCAGGGCTAACAAAAGGATCCCTTCTTAAATTTACCCAGATGAACGATAACTAGTTTTCTAGCCTTATTCTGAAAGAGATATGTAGTTTCCCCCTTTAAACTATTTATCTATGTTTGTTGTTTAGAGTTCCTACATTTTGTTTTGCTATTTATACAGAATGGGTTTACTGCACTTCATATCGCATGCAAAAAGTCACGAGTTGAAATGGCTTCAGTTCTTCTTAAATATGGCGCTCTACTTGAAGCAGCCACGGAGGTAAGTAGTTGCCAATTGATTTTGTTGCTTTTCTTGAGGTTTATCGACTTGCTTTTAAAAGTCTGTGGATATTGGTGTACATTCCTAGATAAATGCTTTCACTAATTAACACCAAAGTATTTGTCGAACAAACGTTGAAACCCCTTAATTTTAAAATCAATTAAAGCCTACAACATCCCTGAAACTCTCCGCTTACGACATTTTTCCTGCACAGTGGAGAACGTTTTGAAGTAGTCATGGATTGACTTATCACTGCAGTTCTTTATCATCCGAGAGCATAGTAATGGCTTCATCCCCAATCGGATTACGTGAATTTTCTCCAGAATAATGTGTTATCCACGTTCCAAATTTACACGGAAATTATTTGTGAAATTTAAATTTTCCTATTCGAAATGTCTGTAGAAATTACAATGGTCAAAATTTTCACAATTGTTTTGCATGGAAGTATGAGAAACAGATAGTAACCATCGAGTTGTAGTGAAACTGTTTGTACTTTAAAGAGCAATACAGTGTTAAGGAATAATATTATACAGTTAATCCCTGTCTACTTAAATAATAATAAACGAAACTTGCTATAGAAAATTTAGCATCTTATAAGGCAGTTTATCACCTGGATGGAGAAATATAACGAGAGTTATAATTACACTTTTGGTGTGTAAGAGTTTTCAGCTGTCAGCCTCGTCTAATATAAATTTTGTGTTCAAAGAATTTTCGTTACAGATAGCTTTTGCTTTTGAGTACACCAAGAAGTTTTCAGTCATCTTTGTGTTCCCCTGAATATTTTAAAACAGATTTTCAAAGGTTAAATTTATTTTACACTCTTAAAAAACCAAATATGTAAAACACATTTACTGAAATAACAATAACTTTGAAAGTGATCATTTTGTTTTCTATTCATCTACATTTTATTGAAATGTCAGACTGGTCTCACTCCATTACATGTGGCTGCATTTTTTGGGTGTACAGACATTGTCTCATTTCTTTTACAACATGGTACGAATGTGAATCAAACAACGTTGCGTAATGAAACTGCACTACATTTAGCGGCTAGAAATAAACAACTAGAGACAGTGAAAACTCTTCTTGGTTACCAGGCAAATTTAGATTGCCGTACAAGAGTAAGTTATTGACGTGTAAGATAAAACCATTAAGATTTGAATACATTTGGTTTTTAGGTAGATAATGAAAGTTTTGTAACAAGTTCAACACAAAATGTAGTCAATATCTAAGGCCGTTCATTGACCCTCATTCAACACCCATATTAAAAATGTTCATACTCTTTTAGTGAAGAATGTTGCTTACTTTTCAGGATCCCCCAGCATTCGCTAACTAATAGAGGCATCGGATATAGGTATGAGTCCAGATTACGAGTAGCGAATGAACTATGAGTCTACTTTATATTAATCAGTTGAAGTGGACTTTACTGTAAGAGTTTATGTTTATAGGCTTATAGTTAATGATTGAAAGTAATCTAGACTCAATACACTCGATAACTATCTATTAATTTCTGAAATAAATCTAGAGTGAGGAAACCTTTCTATGTTCAGTCAGAAAATAAGATATCTAAAAGATTTACCCACACACCTACTAAATTGAAAATGGATATAATACCGATTGAATTATTTTACTACAAGCAAAGACAGGAATGCATCATGACCTATGTTAATCTGATTATATCAATGTGAATAAAAGAATAAGAACTAAGCTTCAATTTTCATGTGATCAAGCATCTTTACTATGAAACAAACAAAACATGAAATGACTTTAATACAGTGAAAATATAGTCATGTTATAGAAAATAAAATTATTTGCAGATTGTCTTGACTACATATTTCTTCTTTATTAGGATAATCAAACACCCTTACATGTCGCTGTCCGTACAAACTATCTACCAATTGTTGAATTGTTATTGAATGCTGGTTCTGATCCTAATATAATGACAAAAGATAATTATACACCATTACACATGGCTATTAAAGAAGACTCAGAAGATATTGTTAGAATATTGATTGAGCACGATGCTAATCCGGAAGTTAAAACAAAGGTGAGTCAATGTTGTCTATTTATTTCTTAAGCAGGCTCTACTTTTAATAACCAAGTTTTAAATTGAGAAATAAAAACTGATTTATTCACCGATTGATTTGATGCCAATAACTAATTCGTTAATAATATGTTACTGTACACTTCCCCATGTTTAATTAAGACGCATTCTAACACTGTCACTCATTCTCAGCACTTAATCAATATCAGCCAGCTTTTGAGAAAGCCCTACTAGAATACAGAGCTTCGAACTTATTTACGGTAATTCACATATTCAAAATCAGTCCATTAAAATGAAATCACAAACCATGTTCTAAACATATATGATATTTTAGTATGCATGTTCATGAGACTAATTGGTTAAAAATTACAAGTAATTTGGTGACGACATTCTTCGGAAGCGACAAAAAATAAAGTCTACAAACTAATTAATATCTTATTATTTGTTATAAAAGATTGACAAGTATATGAGATCGGATGAAATCTTAACAAAAGGTTTGATGAACAACAAATTAGGTCAACATAACACCCTGAATAATGAAATAGAAAATATAGTTTCATATAAATAACAGCGTTTCTTAGACTTCGAAACCAATCCCTCGTTGTTTTATCAGCATAGTTGTGGTAGCATAAATTCACTTAATGATTTGTTTGGTTCACGTGTTACACTTACTAGTTATTCTAATAAATACATTTGCAAATTTTATTTTCAACAGAAAGGATTTACACCCTTACACTTAGCAGCAAAATATGGTTCATGCAAAACAGCTCACTTGTTAATGGACAGAGCAAAGTCTGATCCGAACGCAACTGGTCCCAATGGCTTCACGCCTGTACATGTGGCCACCTATTACAATAATAACAAAGTAAGTTGTCATGATTTTGTAAGCGTTCAACTGCTGCTTCATTTTCGTTTATTCAGCCACGCCATTATTTGTCTTTTATTATATTAAATACTAATTTTCAGGTACCAAGATGAGTTATATTTGTAGTTGAGTAATTCAACGATAGTTCTTATCAGAAATGTTTAATTAATAATCGAAAACAAATGAATTTATCAACATGATTTCATAACAGCTTAATGTTACTAAGTGCTAACATACGTAATGTTTTGAACAGGACGAAACTAGAAACTAGACTATCATAGAGGGTGTTTACTATTACCAGGATACCTCTAAACTTTAATCATAGAATTTACTAAGTATCATCACCAAGTTTGACTTAATAATTAGAAATAAATTAGTGTTAGGTTAACTGTTTATAGTATTATTTTTGTACATATAAAATTTGGTCTGTCAATCAATGCTAAATAATTGGAAAGGAACTGATTCTAGTGGTCGAAAATGGTGGGCTATAAACGGTTTACGAATTGTAAATCACATTTCAAACCAACGATATTCCTATGTGGGTCGCGAACTATTAGTGATATAAATAATAATTAATAGTTGCATTTAATAAAATAAACTGTCCCATCGAAAATGTTTTCAAGCTTCAATTTGTGACACAAATTGAATAGTTAAGCGTCTGTCATTCATACAACAGCTACGTAACAATACTGAATTACAAAAATAAATAGACCTTAAAATTTGAGTATCAGTCTGATAGCATAAATATTGCTGGTTCGAATCTATTTAAAATACAAGTTTTTAAATTTTACCCAAATTCCTGAAACAAATAATCGACAAAACGAGACTAAAGTAGATGGTCTAAATGTAAATTCTAACTGTTTCAAATATTTCATCTAGAACGATGAGAGCTAGTTTAACTTTGATTTAAGATCACGTCAAAATAGCTAGAACCATTTAATTTATATACAGTAATGTCGATACAAATAAGACAAAATAATGTTAGATGCAATAGCATTTTATGGAAATTTTTAAACTGCAGCATTCTATTTGGTCGAATTAAATCCTAACCAGAAAACCATACATATAATAACAATAAGATAGCCCCACTATACCTTACTAATGTCTTGTCAACTAAATAGTTATTACATTATTAGTGATAATAAAATCCTGCTAAACATGGTAACGGTGAGGTAGTTTCCTTAATAAAAATGACATATTTATGCTTTTATTTATTCTGGCTCACTGTTACCATGTTTAGCGAAATTTAATTGTCACTATAATCGTAATAGTTATCATTTTGAGAAATAATTATATTTGGAAATGTATAGCTTTGAAAATGAATTTGCTGAAGTGAACTCTTCGCTGAACCAGTCTTATTTTATGTTTCAATGGGTATATTCTGTTTACATAATAATTGTTTCGTAAATAATTATATCTTTAAAAAATTTGCTTGAACTGGATAACTGATACTTGAGGAACATCCCCTGAGTTTGAGAAATGCGGAAATCAGTCAGATTTATAAGGACGAATATTCTCCAATATATAGTTTAATACATACTATAAAGTAATGTGAGCACATGAGGATCATAAATTTAATTCTTCAATAGCAGATAATCAGACGAAAGTGATCTAAATACCATAGATCCGTTAATTAGTTGTTATTGATGATTTCTTCTATAAGTAGAGGATCATGGAGAAAGTAAAACTCAGAGACTACAATTTCTTAGCACATTGATTATAAATAAGCGAAGTCTATAAGAAATTAGATGTTTTATATCATGAACTGACTTCAGTTAGATAACCATTGAAAACTAGGGAGCAGCCGACAGCTATGGAAAGGTGGGTGACATGGCTCAGAATCGATCACAATGGCGTCGGTGTATACACTCTCTGTCTTCCCTTAAACTACGAGATTAAAATCACTTCATATCTTTCTTTCTACGAACTAATTCTTTCTTCCTGTACTATATCCTTATTGCAATCTTTCCTTTATATATTACCACCTCTGAATTAACTATTATGAATCCGGTGTCCATCTTGTTGTGTTAATGAGGTATGGCAACTTGGACCGATGCATATATGTGCCTGGTCCTACGTTGTAGCCGACTGACTGATGGAAAGGTGAAGACTAAAAGTGAGTAAAAGGCTTCAGTAATCAAGGGAATGTAGGCCGCGACTTGGGTTTGGTGGATAATTTACAAATCCACGGACGCATGAATGAAGAGAGTTTTTTTCTGAGTAAGCTGTCATAGAATTTTACTTACAAATGTAGAACCTGATGAGAGTTTCTTGAAAAGAATATTCCATGTTTTAATATCGTCTTAGACAGTTGGATAATTTGCTCACGATAGGCCTATCACAATTTTTATTTCACGAGCACCGTGCGACCTTGCAAGAGCACTTAATCAGTCTGGTATTGCAGCAATCTGGGATCTGTTCGGGCTCGTCTACCTGTTAGTTTTTCATGCAAAATAATCAACTGAGTTATTATTCAATTAACTGAACTTTGGATTAACTTCTATGACTATCTACTTACAACTTAAACCACTATGAGTACCTAACACTTGTCTTACTGTTGATCCTATTTCAGTCCTAAACATGCAAACCATATATGATTATGGGTTATGATCACCAAGTTTGTGAGGTTGAGACTGTTTATTCCATTCATAATCATTCCTAAAACATTAGTGATTTTCTTCATTTGACAATAACGTCAAATCAGTTGAAACTTATATTTAATTTTGCATTTACTTTAAAGATGTTGGATAAATTGACAGAATTCGGAGGTGATGTCAATCGACCTGTTAAGAATGGCTTTACACCACTTCATCTGGCAGCCAAACGAAATAATCTAGATTCAATCCATTTATTAGCATCTAAAGGAGCCGTAACTGATAAGGGTTCAAGGAACGGTTATACACCACTTCATTTAGCTTCACAAGATGGTCAAATCGAAATAGTTAGAGTTCTTGTTGAAAAATACAAAGCTCAAGTGAATACTGCAGCCAAGGTATGTGTTGTGTAGACAAACTGATATCCCCATAAGAAGTAGCATCCACTTTCATTTATTTTTTAATTTACACTTTTATTGTACTGAGGAATAGCTCAATATATATTTCATTTATTAGGATAAGCTTAACCATCCAAAAACAAATTTGAATTTCGTGAATGACTCATCTTCATTGGATTGAAAATTGCCCAAAGGTAATCAAAGTCTGAATGCAAAATATACAGACTCCATTAAGACTGTACTAAACCAGGTCTGTCGGCTTCAGAATTAGGATACAACTTTTCTGTTTTACCAGTCTTCTAACAGTGATCAGTTCAAGAGATTGATCGTTAAGCTGATTATATGCTTAGATCTACGAACTTAAATTCCTTATTTCTTTATCTCATTCTATATACTTACAATATATCACTTTTATAGGACGGTTTAACACCACTACATTTGGCGGTACAGGAAGACAAAGCTAACGTAGCCGAATATTTATTAAGTTCAGGCGCATCCATTGATACGAAAACACTGAAAGCTGGGTTTACACCGCTACATTCATCTGCTTATAGGGGACAGCTCGCCTCTGTTCGTCTACTTCTATCATGTGTCCCTGAACATCAACTTCAGCAAGTTATAAACAGTCGCACTCATATGGGTTCAACTCCACTGCATTTGGCAGCCCAACAAGGTCATCTACAAGTAGCTCTAAAACTGATTCAAATGGGAGCTGATCCAAACATTTGTAATAAGGTAATTTTTAAAAAAATCTTATCACACTAATTATAACTTCAATGTTTATACTTGCCTGTGAACACTATTTCTTTAGGTCAAGCGTATGTCTAGTTACAGACTTTTGTTAATATTGTTTAAATGTAAATAATGCTCGGCTAAATTTTCATAACTTTTGATTTTTTAGCAAGGATGGACAGCAGCAAAATTAGCTCATAAGCAACATTATTTGAACTTGTTCGAATTGTTGCAATCAGTTACAACTAATGACGGTGACGGAGGTTTACCTAGTTCAAATGGAATAGATGATAATGTAAATCTAATCCACGGTGTAATGCCCTTAGAAAAAGCGGAATATATGACTGATCATATGATCTCAGATAGTGAAGATGAAGGTAGTAAAATTTTTAATTTTTTTACTATAAAACTGAATTATTTGTCAAATAAATTATTGAATTACTGTACAAAATACACTGCTCTATTTAGTTTCATTCAGCAGTAGTTATGTACCCACCTTACGCACTACATCAGAGCAACTAATTATTAGACATTCACTGATATCAAGAATTTTTAACCTGTATGGAGCATGTCCCTTCTGAACACAACTTTATACTTGCTTATACTTATTCATTAAATGAAATTTTTTAACACTAAGGATTCTAATTTTGACAATGAAAATAGATCCAGAATCTTTGAAAAAATCTTGTGCAGTCATGAATCGGTAGTAATACTTTCCACTCATATCATTAATGATAGTTTCAGTAACAATGAATACGGTGAAGGAAATGGTTAACCTAGTGAGAAAATAGCAAATTAGAATATTAAGCAGATTAATTTATGTTTAAAAAATATACTATTCGATATTAGCACTTGTAGGACAAGACTATTTTACTCGTCTTTCTAAGGAGCATCTACTTGAAACAAAAGGATTCAGATCATGCATTAGTATTTATTGTGATTCATATGATTTCTTTGTTTATTTTCTTTGTTATTACAGGGAAGTAATTAGGATATTAGTTACCAACTGAGAAATGTGTCCTAAAAGCCTGATATTAGTAAGAACTGTCATTCAGTACCTGAAGTAAAATTCAGTTCAATGCAGTAAAACACAAATTTCTTTCCCACTAAAATGAATTCGATTTGATTTAATAAAGATTCACGTTTTGAAAATGGGACATCGTTTTGAGAGAATCTCGTAGTATTAGTCTATAACATTCTTTACATAAAATAAATTAATACTAATACTCATAGTTAACTTTACACATAATCAATAATTTCAGAAACTATTATACACGATCATAGGAACCGCATAAGAAATACATTTTTCTATGTGAATATCTTAATCTATAAGTGTTGTAATTAATAAACGTTGTTTTGATGGTATTTTTGTGTTAATATGCAGCCGACCTTTTATCTACACCAGCAATGTTTCGATATCCTGAACAACGTAAAGAAACGTTAGATGAACCAGGTAGGAGTTTTACGCCGAATACATTTGCCCTACGTATAAATGTTTGACTTTAAAGGGTTTTATTTATGATTATTGTTCATTCAAATTACCTTTCTAAATTTCTACATTTGACTAACATCCAATCACGTTTAAAACCATGGTAGCCAAAATTCATAACATTGTCAACTACACGAGACATTTTCAGTGCATTTAAAAATGTAGACAAGTGATTGTAGAGTGTTGGTAGTTACTCAGTGAATTATTTATAGCACTGATAAAGACAATAGGTAAAAAAATCGATTACACTTAAATACATTAATAAATAAACTAAGAATATAATTTTCAATGAATTACTGTCGAGTCCTACAGTCACAATTTCAAATAATGGTAAAGAATTTTTTTTAGTTGGGGTCAAACTCATTTTTATTAGCAAGTTACATACGTAAGTAAAGTAGGTTTGCTAAAGTTTGGTAGATATTGTGATGACAAGTATGCGTTGATTGCTTCATTCAAGCTTGTGATCAAATAACAATATGAAATTATTAATTTCATTTAAAATACGTAATTAAAATAGGGGGCGATGAGTAAATGGTTCACTTGTGTAACATCTCGCAATGTTACTTGACTTACCACTCCACTCAATAACTTCAAAACGTTGACCGCCTTATATTGCTTACACTATTAAATTTATAGTTTGTTAAAAGATGTAAATAACCAAGCATAAGAAACTTGTTTATGCTTACCTTGTAACTCTTTTGGATCATTAATTTGAACTTTTGGCTATATAAGTTAATGATTTACAAGAGAAACATATTCTTCGTATGTATAACAAGTAAACAATTAAATGGACGTTTTAGTCTACATAAATCTATATTAACAATGTAAGCTATATATATTAGTATGTATTGGTTCAGGTTATCAGAGTTCACATCACTAGAAGGAGCGACAACCTGTAGGGGAAAGCTAGGAAAGAAAATAGTAACAACGCAATAATAGTCAAGTCAAAACAATGAAGATTTCCAATAGAAAGATGAAAGTAAAAAATGAAGCGTTTGGCATCATATCGTGTTCATGATTAAGAGGATAATAATGAATGAGCTGTTTGGTTTAAATGCAAAATACTATGAAAAATGTAATCTAAGATTTGAAACCATAAACAGGATATCTAAAACTCTTCAAATGACTTACACCAACAATGAGTGATTTCATAACCCTATGACAAGTCGTGAAATAACTTCTCATACTACTTGCTTGCTCCATTAACAACCAGAAAATCTTCTTGAATAGATCCTAATTAACATGGTACTTCCACTTAAGGTTCTCTGTTGATCACTCACAAATATCAATTATATTTAATGTCCATTAAGTTCCATAGTTTATGAGGAGTCACAAGTCTCAGACTTTTATTTTTAATACTGTAAATTATAATTTATGGACGAATTAATCAGATTTAGGATAACAAGTCTTGGATTTGGGCGCGAAATTCACACATCCATTTGTCTAAATAGCGTCTTGTCAGTTCGTGATGAAAAACCGTAAATCTAATTCCTAAACTCAATCATCAACTGTGAATCATATTCCTTATTCTTCAAATTACTTTATAACCCTCATTTAGCCCTAGTAAGTAGGTAGACACTCTCAAGATCACTTTGGAGTCGCTCAAAGATCGTCCATAAATCATGGTCTCAGCAATTGTTCTTGCTGTTACTTACCTTAGATGCTGTACGAAAGACAAAGTGTTGAAATACATTTATTTCTCCTAATGTAAAAAATAATTCAAAACAGAATACTGTCCAGATAAATAATCAAACTACTTGAATTTAGACAAAATATTACTTTTCCTCTCAAATTCACTATGATCTACATATAATGATGGACTTAAGTACATACCTCTCGATCACTATAACAATGCACTCAAAACCAAATACTTAACTTGGTGAGATGAGTACGTATGCATGGTTTCATTCATACAAACTTTTAGCACCAAAACTAGGGCCTAATTATCAGTTAAACCTAGTGACAGATCAACAAAATTGTCATGTTGCCCATTGACAAAGTTGCAAGATAATAGTTTCTGGTATCTGCTTAGGCTTAAACTCTAATGTATTCATCTAAAAGTAGTTCCACAGTTAAGAAAAAAATCAAGCAGTTATTAGCTTATTACCCTTACGATATGAGGAATAATCAGCGCATATTTGAGAGCTTTAAATTATTTTTATTCTCATTTACTGCTATTGATTTGTTTGTGTCCACAGCTTAACACTGAAAACATCTTTCTCATGATTGCCGGTTGTATGTATGCTAACAGATGGATGTCACTTTACATCCACACATTCACAGTTAACCACACTGGTATCTGAAATCAGTGCTTACCTATCACACCTTATCGCTGTTGAACATACGACTTTAAATAGACTAAAGTTTCACTTTATGCACCCTAATTATAGCACTTCAAATGTTCTGCCAAATTAACTTGAAGAAACAAGCGAAGGGAAATTTAGGCGAAGCGAAATTTTATTTTCTGAACTTGATATAATTTTATCTATAAATTGAACTAGTTGCATAAATTAATTAACTACAGTTCCATTTTTCAACACTTATACCATGGTACAAAAACCCTTCCTCAAAACCATTTTTGAAATAACATTGGGAATAGGACTGCTGTTTTAAAATTTTGTACATACTTTTGTTTGTCTGTTTTCCCTCTGCATGAAACTGCTCAAATGTATCTTCGCTGATCACAAATCTGGTATGTTAATATAATAACACTGCTGTTGTTTGTATCATAAACCAAATACGATCCACTGCATCAAATCAGCAGATAACGATATAACATCAATTCCAAGTACACCAACTTTGGATAACAAACTCATATCAGTCCGCCCAACAACACTGCGTATTCCTGAATATTTAACTGGTGAGCAGAATAGTTTTAAATATACTGACTGCATATTTCGTATATTAGTTTGCTGTAAATAATGTAGTGGTTTTCACAAGAGTTCGTTTCAAATAATAGCGAGTAAGATATCAACAAGGGGAAATGCTTAAGAATATGTCAATTATTTCGAAACGTTATTAGCAAATCTTTTATTTGCAGCAAGATTCATGATTCATAGTAAACAATTAAGGATTTGTTATAATTCAACCACGTAAATAATAATCGCGGTTGCAAAAGTAGCTGATAAGAAATTTTATCAACTGTATGAAATTAATCTGAAAATTATAATACCAGATATTCCTTTTTATAAACTGACATCATAATACAAAACAACACTGTGAAAGTTAGCACTTTTACACTCAAAGTAATATTGTGACTCGCTCACCTTCTAAAACCCTTTTTGTATATGTATTGATTATGAAATATTTATTTCGGGACTCCTGTAAAATGTTAAACATACATATTGCTCTTTAAAATGTACCATGATTACAGTTTATAAACACAGAAATAGTGTAATTTGAATGTATTAGGATGGAAAAATATATGTACTGTAACCAGAGTTATGTGCTACATTTTTCTTTAACAAATTTTTAATAAGTCAGTCGTTTCTATTTAATAGATCACCCAAAACCAATACAAACTAACAGACATTGACATTAAATTATATTTATACTGCGAACAATATTGTTTAATATATAAAGGAGAATATTAGCATATGTTCCCATTTACATTCTGTAATAACATGTCCCTAATAAGGTAGATTTACTAATGAAAAATGTATATCTCATTTTTATTCAAATGGCGATGAAAAAATCAAATACATAAAAGCCATTATGCGCCATTGATTGGATTCAGAACACTATCATGTCTCAAGATAAAAATTACTCAAATAGGTCAGACAAAAAACCAATTTAATCAAAAAATGCCAATAAAGTGTATGGAGAGGACACTATTAGAAAAAACATGCCAGTTGACTTGAAGCTTTCTTATGTGTGGAAATATCCACAAAAGCCTCTTATTGTGACAGTGTGCATTTGAGTTCTTCTACAGCTTTATTTTAAAAAATGGTCCCTTGTAATACTATATAGTTCCTAGCATTTCAGACATGAGAATTAGTTATTACTATGATTATTTTAAATTGGTATCAGGTTTGATTCAGCTACTTCATTTTGACTCTACGTTGGTCTCAATTAAACTTAAGCAACAACTTCAACTCAGAAGTATAAATTTTACTTACTATTTACACATGATTCATTGTACCTGTTTTTGTTTTTTTTTAAACGGGAATATCCTTGAGACCTTGGTGTCTAGCTACGAGCGGCGGACATTTTTGACGAAGATCGGATTTGTATACCTGGCGGTTCTTCATGAATTGCTGTGAATTAGGTCATGGTTTGTAAGGCGATTGAACGAATCCGCTTGATCGCTTCCGTATATTGTATTGTTAGCTTATTAAATTGGACACACTGTTCCGTTTGAAGTCGCGATTCTATAAGCACGTTACTATAAGCCAAAATTGACACTGCTCATTGAAATAATATGAACAATAAGCATATACATAGATTTCAAATAATTTTACGCAAAAACAACCTTTAACTATGTTTGATACCTGCAGATGTTTTTTCAAATCTACCTATTCAACGGTCTCATACAATTTTATCATAGCTAAACGTAATTAACCCATGATTTGTATTAGCTATTTAAATAATACTCATTCTTTACATAGGTTGCACAAATTGTTGACGCCGGCAACTATAGTTTTTGAATGTCTGTACAAATAGGCAGAGACTTCCATTCATTCAAGTTAAACTTATCAACGAAGATAAATTCCCACACTATGTAACTGTGATGCTAATCAAACATTATTAATTGTTCAGTTACTTTCCTTCTAATCAATTTTCTGTTGTATCATTTACTTATTTTAAGCCTTAGAAGGTGAAACTCTTTGCTCTGGTCTTCATGAAAGTATGACCGAAGAACGTGTGAAGCCAATGCTCAATGGAAAAGTACGTGTTTCTCCAATAATGTAACTTGATTTACTGATGCTTAAGAGGAGATACTTAATACAGTCTTATTTAGGGCATTGTTTAGCATTATAGAAAAAACAAGTTCGTCGTTACGGTTCATAGATATTTTTAGCCTTTTATTAACTTGAACAACAATCGTCCTCATTATACATAAATGACACGAGATCACACTCTGCTTTTAATTACATTTTATGAAATAGTGAATCGGATTAGTGTTACTAGTCTGAGCTCCTGCACTCGACTTCGTATCTACTATACATTAAATATCCGTCTGTTTCTAAGTCCCTTTCAAAATGAAGACTTTTACTTCAGTCGTTATATAACAATAATTAAGCGTAATTTGATAAACGAATAAACCCCATCAGACTCATACTTGGAATGTCGTCCAATTTACATCAGGGTAATAAGTGTAAATTCCTTGAAGATACAAAACATCTGTTCAGAATAAAAACAGCACTTAAAAGTTATATTTTACTAAGAATTATAAAATGAACCACAAAGAGAAAGAACAGATAACTCTGTTCTTAAAATCGAATAGGGTAGGTATTTCAAAACACTCACAGTTTCAATATCTGTTACCATTTACTTGCCCTAAACTCTGAGCTGCCAATTAAATAACACACTAAAAATTTGGTAGAATACTTCTCAATGTGAATTAGTAGTTGGGTATTTGTAGGTACAAATCGATCACATAATTCTGATAATCTTCATCTTCTCATAGCATTGTTCAAATATTGTAGTCTAACTCTGTTATGCACAACGTTTATTTCAAAATTTGAAAAACATATAACTACTTCTAAAAACGAAAATAATATAACATGAAAACTGTTTAGAATATCCAGTGTACTAAGAAACTAATAGCCTTTTGAGACTGAATTATATGTTGCGAAAATATTCATGCATTCATTTTGTGTTGTCTCTATATAGGGTGAAACAGCTACAGCTTCACAACAGCCAGTTCAGATGACAATTAATGCATCTTCACCTGCCGCTCTATCCGAATGGGATTTCGATGTGGATAATGTGCATTCGACGAAGAATTTAGTTAAGTCGGGGTATGTTCCTATAGGTTTATCTATAATTTGAAAGGTTTCTTATCTCTTTTATCATCGATGCTCGAGGTGGCCTTGTCGAAGCTCAAAGACGACCTGGTTTACGATTTCTTGTACCACCTAATGCACCATCTGGACCACTACGTATAATTTGTCGTTTACTCCGCCCAGAAGCGATTGACAATCCACCAATTTTTAATGACGGTGATTGCTTAGCCTGTCGGTAAGTAATTTTACATTTTTTAACTACACAAGTGCGCGATAGTTTATCTTAAAAAAGAAAATGAGTATTTATTACTTTTCAGTTAGGTCTAAGATTCTGAAAATCTGTCTTTTTGTTATTGATAATCTGCTAAATGACTGGTAATCTTATAATTTAATAATTGAATTCATGAGTCAATAATAAAATACTACAATCTCCACAAAACCCCCGTCTTATTATAATCTTATAATTCTTCTGAACCATCAGTTAGAATCTCTGATTGAATAATATACTGAGGATAGATTGAAAAGAATATTCTTTATTAACAGTCAGGTATTTCGATATGAAGAGTATGTCTAAACACTTATCCATTGAGTTAAAAATACTAGAATCATGTTTGTTTCCAAGTGTAGCTTACCAATTCTACTTTGAGTAGTTACTACAATTGTCAAGAACGACAACGAACGTTTCTTAACTAGAGCAATTAGCCCAGAGAATGCACTACTGCTAAAAGCATTCACATGACCTACAAATCTTCTCCACCATTTCCTAAAATACTATCATTCGTGTTCTTGTTTGACATCATAGTAAATTTTAAGAGCTGTCAGTTTTACATTTTCAAATCCAAACACATTCAAACAGGAATAATATATTTAACTCATAACAAAATCGACACACGTTATTAAATATAGTTACCGTTTTCGTATCTTATCAAATTTCCTTGGTAAGTTTGTTAATTGCAGATCATAAACGTTCAGTGTTTATAGTCTACAAATTGATGTAAATGCAGACACGAGCACTGTATAAAGTTTAAACTGTTTTAATTATGGTCTGAATTAATAATAGAGTCGAATGCAATGAAATCATAATCCCGGTTAGCTTGAAACCAAATAACCAAGCTCAGAGAACGAACCTGCATCCAAATCTAAAATAAGCTAGAAATTGTTAGCAAAAGCAATAATTAACTAAAAATACAATTGTAATAACGGTAAACGAAATTTACAGCTCATTTGTAATTAAACTAATGAATTGAATTTTCCTTTTAATGGTAATCTGAGGATCAACGCTTTGTTACTTAGTGTGTAACATTTTTTATAGGATTATTGAAATGAATCCAAACCAGATGCGCTTCAGTTTACCTATACTTGTTGAGGTGCCTCATATAGCATCTATTAAAGGAAGAGAACGTGAAATTATAATTGTTAGAAGTGAAACGGGAAATTCATGGAAAGAACACACATTAGAAGCAAATGAGCAGGCGATAAATGATTCGTTGGGTGATGCATTTGGTAAGCTTTTTGTTTTTCTTTGCTTGGTTGGTTTAATCTATGTGTTCCTGTCTTACTGATTTAACTTGTATGCCAAGTGGAAGTCATTAACATGAGAAGATAGTCGTCATGTAATTACGTTACCCATTTTCTCCAGCGGGTTAAAAATTTAATGTGATTTTTTAAAGAAATAAACGTATAAAACTGAGATCCCATAGCAACAATATTACTGTTAAGCCACTAAATCAAGTTCAGTTATCCAATTTCATCATGTACATTCAGCATTACTTCTCCCAAACACTTAATTTGAATAGCAAATAGGGGTTCACCAGTCGACAACTTTAAAGTAGTACATTTTTAGGAGATCTGAAGAGAAAATCCTGTTCATAGTACAAAGTTAGTCTTTACTGAAAACGTGTAGTCAATAGTATAGTGGAAGATAACTCGAATCTATGATAATCGTGGTAAAGACTGGAGGGTATGATGAGTTTTCGGGAAGGCAGCTCTTTAAACTTTCTGTTTTTGTAATCTCATGAAATTTTGTGCCCTGAAAATCTTAAGTACAACAAGAATAAAAACTGTGACAATATGTTTATCGAGATAATCGGTTTCTGAGATATTCATAAGTTATAACGAGTGTTCATGATTCAGTTTAAAAAATGTCTGTACCTAAATAAAATAAGAATGTGTCAGTTACTGATAGCCAAAACGAAAACTTCTTCACTTTGTCTCAGCTGTTTTCAATTTATATTAACTATCAATGAAAACAACAACTAGTAATGAACTTTATAGGCTCTGGCTGAATGTTGTGTATTCAGAGGTAATTAAGTTTTCAAGGGTTTAAACTTGTATTTTGACGTACTGTTCTCTCCATTACCCTTAGACCAATCAAAATGTAGTTTCAAACGTCCAATAGACAGACTACTTCTTTTTCAATAAATAATGATTTCCAACATTACCCCTGTTGCCTGAAATTATTGCCACAGTTATGTGATTCTTGACCCCCTATTGATGAAACTTCAGGGGTATGATTATCAATGTCTAGTAATAAGTTATTGGTTTACTTGTATTTCGAAATGTGTGCTAATGTATTCAGCAACATACTGTTTGTTGACTGTAGATGGCTCACTGTTGTAATCTGTTGAAATCCGTCCAGCACAAACTGTTTTGATTGGATATCGAAATTTGCACATTTTAACTTCTTTTAACTTATTAGGTTTCATTGTCATGAAATTGTAACTTAAGAAAAAAATGACATCAATCATATTGGGGTCGGCATATGATATTAGGATGGAAAGTATGGTCAATTTTCTTATTGATCACGCGTCCACCGAACTTAACTTTTTCAATGATGTAGATTAAAGTGATCACTTAACGTGACGAGGGAAAATTGATAAAAATTACGTGTATATAATTTCTTTGTCAGCGTTCAGACTATGCATGTCATTGAAAGTAAACAAGAAAATTTGATAACTAATTCTTGGTTATGATGATAAGCTTTTTATCAACAGACAGATTTCTAAAGAGGAGGAATGTATTTGTAAAATCTCAGGGAATGAATTTGAAGTAAATCCAACAATCGAAACAAATAGCATCGACAATTTTGATGTTTGATTATATTTCCTTGAAAAAGCTTGGATCAGATTGACAGGCGAAACGATGGATTAACTTTAAACTCATTCGCTGAGATTTTACAAATACATTCTTCCTCTTTAATGTCTCACATCAACTCGGCACCCATATACTGTGAAACTATTCGATCAAATTTAGACGAAAGTTCTTATTTAGACAGATTTCTAACTATCATAGCGATTATTATGCCTAAAATCTAATAAAATCTTGAATGGACAAGAAGAAAATTATTTCCCATTTAGTTATTTTATTGAATCATTTTAACATATCATTCAAGCTGGTAAAAACTCCCATAAGCATATGAACAAGATAATGTAAACGGGATATGTAATTAATGTGAAACTATCTCCAGGCTACCTTTGGAAACAGTAATTTTTTAACAAAATAGAGATGTTTTGTATCGCTTAAAAAATGGCATCAATAATAGCCCAAAAATATTGTGTTCTCGAGTATCATAGTCTCTAATTAAATAAATAATCCATATCAGAAGGGTTTTGTGGATATTATAGTAATGTCAGTGATTGAGATCATGAGTCAATTGAAGCTAGACCAGCATGAAAAACGTGGAAGCACTGGACGGCCGTTTCGTCTTATTGTGAGACTCCAGGTTTTCCATGGTGGTCTAGCTTCAATTGGCTCATGATCTCAATCATTGAAATTAATAATTGTTGCATAATTTTACAATGTTATCAACACTAGAATTATTTTCAAAGATAAATTGTCCATAAAGACTCCAATATAGAATAAAGTTTTTCTGTGATTGATTAGATATGACCAGAAACTATTAAACAAAAATAGTTATAAGATGGATGACAACTGGGCATTAAATGATGTTGTAATAGCTCGTGAAAAATAGGTCACAAAATTTTAGAAATTAATAGTATTAAGTACAAAACTTAATTTATGCAAAGTATGAAACTAGTTGACGTAATTACTTACAATATACGGCTGTAATACTAACAACGCACCAATTGCACTCTCTTCAAAAACACAGAAACCATACATGATCTATAAAACTATAGTTATTTATTTCTTAAATGTGTGTTAATACACAAACATAACAATACTGAAGATACACACATCCTGAAGGCTCCAAGGGACCTCTGCAAGTGATTATAAACGGTGGAATATTGTCGATTTTGCGTTCTATGTTAACTTAACATGGTAATATTGGATTTCTGTTCGATAGACTTAGTTATACTAAACAGTGTCTAATAAAGCTATGATGTATTTGCTGGTCATTCTATCTACCCAGTTGTATCCACAAAAACAATCAGACATAGAAGTCGTTTGAAAATTCCTGATCACTAAAATGAAGATAATCCACAATATCCTGATTTTCTAGATATTCATGTTTTTCAAGCTCTATTTTTCCTCCATGGATCCGTGCTCTTAATCAGTCCTAAATTTAAGTATTTCAGTGTTTTGGTGGTGAATAACGTTACTTCAAAACTTATTTAGTTACAGTGAATATTTTCATCCAATGTTAGGCTGGTACCAGTATCCCTGAGAGCATTATTCAGTACAGTTACACAGATAAACAATAAGACATTGCTAATTAAGGATGGTGATCTATTTATGACATTATTCTTACTCTACAAGCAAATTTATTTTCATTTTGATTACGTTTTGTTTAAGATCTAGTAAATCTTTAATATATATATCATTCTTGATCTCTCTATATTTTGTTCGACACTCAGATCATTCTGACTTGAATACTTCAAGTCTTAACAAACGCATTCATCGAATTTTGACCTACGACCTTCCACAATATTTCGCGTTAATTTCGAGATTTCGTCAAGAGGTTGCTTTCATTGGTTCAGATGGTGGAATTATTAGCTCCACCGTAGCACCACAAGTCCAAGCTGTGTTTCCTCCAGGATCACTTCAAAAAAGAATTAAAGTTGGCTTGCAAGTATGTAATTTACCTAATCTCATTCACTGTATTTGAATATCTGTAAATATTACTTAGTATAATAGGATTTTATGATATACACAATTGTCATAAAAGTTTTTAAGACATGGTACTTATATTTATGTTCTAGGCCCAAATTATTCCTAATGATGTCATCAACCGTTTAGCGGATGGTCGTGTTTCTGTATCTCCTGTCGTAAGCATTGAGCCAAGACGACGCAAATTTCATAAGCCCATCACACTTACGATACCGGTTCCACGTCATTCAGCCAAAACTATTCCAGATACAACAAACAGCTCACCAAAAGTTCGACTTCTATGTAGTCTATCTGGTGGAATAAATCCAGCCGTATGGGAAGATATAACTGGTTCAACACCTATGACACATCATAAAGATTGTGTTTCATTTACTACAACTGTTTCTGCTAGGTAAGTTCATTTTCTATTTCATCATAGAAATAAATAACAAGTGAACTGATATGAATTTACTAAAATTTTAGATAACCATTTCTTTTACTGTACTCTTGAATCCTTACATTTCCTGAGAGAAGGAAGATTTCATTTCATAGGTCGATAAAGCATAAGTGAGGCCTGAAATAAAATGAAATAATGGAATTTAGTCTTCTTTTTGAACCATGTATAAAACATGAATCCTGGAAAACTATCACATCCTTTTCATTAGGTAGGACCTAATGTTTACTCAAATTTATCAAGCATTTACAGAATATTAATTCAGAATGTTATACGGATTCATTAAATTAATTTTTAAATTCTAAAGATACAACTCAATTAGTGAATAATAAAAGCAATAGCAGTTGGATGTTATTATGAAAGAAGTACTCTCGTGAACATTGCTATATAAATGAGTCATTATTCGTAAACACGTTATTCATTTCAAAAAACCATATTCGAAATAATTGGAGGGAAAAGAAGAAAGATAAATTTATGCAGATATGATATGGTATTTAATGGTTGTCTGACTAAGATTAATCCATGATGTAAACCGCTTAAGTTGTAAAAATAACTAGAATGTAATATGGGAAATAATGTAGCGGGTAGAGTAATTATTATAAAATGATGTCAAAATTGGTTACACCTCATGAAATGTGAAAATATAGAATTTCTGTAAAGTAATTTGGTATAAATAGATTTTTCATTTTTACTATTACAGTTAGCATCAACTGATTGTATAAATCAAAATCGTTAAAGCTGATTGAGAGCACAATTCATAATTTGAAATGAGAAGTCATCACTATCAAACTACCCCCTTCTATGAGTAACGTAGGTCACAAACGTAAAACTAAAATTTTGGCCGTTTAACAGACTGATGGAAAACAGTAAAAAAAATGTACTGCTTGACGCAAATATGATAACCGTCTTCTCATTGGTAATAAAATAACGGCTGTAGACCTCAAAAGAAATCAGTAAATAACGTTTAACCTAAATGACAATGTTCATTCTACTTGAGTTATGTATAATCGACTGTTCACTGAATAGTAATAATGTCATGTCCGCCTAGTCGTTTGGTGCTGATCATATTTTGTCGATCAAACTTCAGTGTCACAGCCAGTCTAAGTGATTCAACATCACTACGTCTTTAAGATGAATGTGGATTTATCTGAAAAACGAGTTATAACAGGAAATATTTCTTTTAAAGCTCTTTAAAGCTATAATAACATCACAGTACTCGAAAGGTTATAATTGTAACTTATTGTCCCCTTCATTTTCACGATGTTTGTTGTGCTTGCTATTAAAAAATCAAATTAGTATAAGGGATTTGTGATGGTAAAAATTTTGCAGTTTAACCGATTGCATAACTCATATTTGCTGGACTAGAGAAAATGTAATCATTCTGCAGTAATTTCCATTTCACTTTGTTTTCCCTAATAATACAGTACATTGATGATCTCTTCAAAAACAAATACCATCTTTGTTTCTTAATATTTGTATACCTGCACCTCGTTATATTTGAATATAGATTGTGGTTGATGGATTGCCCACCTGATATTCCGGTTACAGAGCTAGCAACTCGCATTTACGATGAAAGCATTGAACCACCGATTTTGGGGAGATTTGTTATTTATGCTCGTCAGTCGACCGATCTAGAAACAGAAGTTGAACTAAAAACGTCAGATAAACTACAAAGACAACTTCCTCATGCTCAAGATATGAAGAGAAGTATTTCACGCACCAAAACGTTTACAACCGAATTCGCTCAAATTAGGTGCATTTGCCTGACAGACGGCAACAATGACAAAACTCTGGAGTGTTTAGAACATTATTGTCAAGTTGCGATCGGTCCATTTGTAGAGGTAAATAAATAACTTGATGTTAAAATTCCTCTGTTCTTCTTATAAGAATATATATTTGGCAAACATGTACATGCTTATTTGAAAATACCTATTTATATGAATAACAACAGTCTTCAGGAAACCGAATATATGAGTCCCGTTTTTTGTTCATCGATTTCATAGGGTCACTTCTACAACGAAGAGTACAAGCGTTTGAGTCAAGCTCCTTGACCAACACTTACCCGGTAGTTAATGACCTTGATTCATGCCCATCTGTTGTTGATCCTGAAATAAATAACGTTTGTTACTTAACATATACATTTCATTTATTATCTCAGTAATTATACCCTCCGAAATTGAAGCGCTTCAAATTTCCGTTTTCATAAATACTAATATTTGAACTTATTCAGTTATCATCAAAATACATCATTTACCATCAGAAAGTAATTTAAAATCTCTACTGTTCAGTGCCCTTTGATTCATGTATACTGCACAGCCGTTAATTTGTTGGCGTTTACTATTTCTGTAACATTAAATAAGAAACATACTTTTGTGATATCCTAAAGTGTAGAAAATTGTATTTCTTAAGTTTTGTGACTTAATTTAAGTCACTTTATCAGAGTAAGTAAATAACCTAAATAAAATTCACACAAGTTTGAATAGTACAAAAGAAACAATTCGATCGTACTGTAAACATCGAATGCCTGAATCATCTATACAACAGTTTAAACTAAGCATTCTTCCTTATTTGCATTGTTAAATAGAAAGTGCTCAGGCTAGCAAATGAAAGCTATGCATGCTATTTCCAAAACTGCTCGCTTGATAGCTAGAATATCAAAGCGATGTATCGAAAATTATTTTCCAAAGTATTTACAGAACTATTCTCAATATGTTTTCAAGATTAGACAATGACTTGTTTTAAAATTGACTTATTTTCCAAATTACCATATTCAGCCTGTTTACGCATTCCTCAAAACTACCAAAAAAGGCAACTATTTCTTTTGGTTGCATAAAGCAAATCAATTCACTGTGTGTAAACTTCCTTAACCAATAAATGTAAACTTATTGTGAATACTCATATAAAATAGTTCTCCTTAGAAAAGATGCTGACAAAATGCCGAGTTTTGTAAACACCCTAAGTAACAATTCAAGCACGTTTGGGATATCGTTTGTTCCCTCCAAATACAAAAGACTGCCTAAGCATTGGCTCGCATCAGCGCCTGAATTGACGGTAGGAAGCGAAGTAGTTGGACACATAGATTGCTTTAATTATCTTGGGAGCCTCGTCAGTCCTTAGAATCTGGTATCTGACGAAATTAATGCACCGATTCAGAACGCTCGACTGGCTTTTGCCAGCTTGTGTCGCTGGTGGCGTAGGCGAGATATCCGTCTGCCAACCAAATACTGTGCAGTAGTTTGCTCTGTTCTACTTTAAGGATGTGAAACATTGCCATTAAGAATGGAGTATACTCGTAGATTACTAGTATTCGATCACAGGTGTTTCCGAAGCATTTCTCGTGTGTAGTGAGACCGCTGAGTAACCATTGCATAGGAATATGGTACTAGGTAAGTGTGGGAAACTGATTGATGAGGTAGTAAATCTCAATCAGCTGAGGTGGTTGAGAAAAATGTTACGTATGCCCAACCACCGCCTACCTTGACTTTCCGTGTTCACTGCTGTACATGTAGACTGGAATAAATTTAGAAGCAGACAAACCAAGACGTGGTATCAGTCCATAAAGCCATCGGCAATAGAACTTAGACATGTTAAAGGGTACGAACTACTTGGTTGTGGTCCGTTGTGATTGTCGTAGCCAATGGTTAGAGACTTTAAGTCAAACTGCTCAAAATAATTTGAAATGGCACAGGTACATCCATTCTTTGTCTTCCCTCGAATCCTGGGTTTATGAATCCTCCATAACAGTTTTCATTTTTGTCTCACTAATTTATACTTTTCTGAATCGCATGTTCGATGACTAATTTTTTCCATTATCACTCACGCTGTTACTACCTCTATTATTCTGGGATTTGGCCTGACAATTTCGTCTCTCTGTGTTGATGAAGTATAGCAACCCGAACCGATATACATACTTACCAGGTTCTAAGTTGTAACTAACTGACTGACTAGCGTGAATATTCTATTCAAGTATTTTTAACTATACTTGTATTGATCATAAACAATACAAAATAAAAGGCCAAACTGGACAGTCAAATATGTAGTAAAAAAGTTTATCTTTCCTAATTATCGCACAACCTAAGGATAGCAAACACAAGAAAAAAGGAAGGATACAAAGGTTTAAAATCATTAGATGTGCACTATTCTTGACAAATGCTTTATATAGGTGCACTCAAACCAACAGGATCCACATCACGTCATAACAGAAAAGATCTGTAACTAACAGCTTTTATTTTAAGGGTTACAGTTGTTTGACTAGAGTCGGGCAAACAGTTAATGACTTTATAGTGTTTCTTCATCTTATTATTTTAATTATTCTGATGCCCTAAACTCCTTTAAACTCAACTTGAACCTTTAAATAACAAATATATGTTATGTTAATCCGTTAATTTAGCACATGATATGATTGACAATCAGCCTAGCGTCCTTGATGGTCCTTTTCCCTACCCAGCCTTGCCTGTTGAGTCCAGAACACCACTATATGAATCATTTATTTCAGACATACTTTGTTGTATACAAGCAAATGAGACCACATCATACCATAAAATAAAAAAATAACATTTGTACAAGATCAAGCCAAAAAGTAGCTGTGAATATGAGAGACTGTAATTAATAGACTGAGTATAACTTAAGAATAGTAAATCGTATAATGATAGTTTATATGTCAAAATAAAGCTTATAATAAGTGGAATATAAATATACATAATCTAGTTATTCATGAGTTACACAATAGGAATATATATATATAATATTAGTCCATTAATAGCTCTCAAAAGTTACCCATAATTTCATCTTCGCTAGGATATAACACAATCAGTGTCGGTCCACATTACCACTAACTTTTATCCATGGTTTAAAAAAATATCCAGTACGAAAGGCGACATTTTGTGACCCCGTTATCCATGAGCCCTTCAAGGTAAGAAGTGATCAAATAACCCTACGTGTGAGGTCGTCGATGGGCACTCAGGAGTTCCATACTAAGACGAAACGTCTGTCCAGTGCTTCCAGGTTTCAGTTGTGGTTTAACATTGATCGGTTCATGATTTCAATGAAAATCAACAATGTCTACACCTCCATACTGAAAAAAGATATCGTCAGCTTTGAGTTTTTTAATTCTAATTTATTTTTTTCATTTGGTACTACACATGGGTTCCTTCTGGCATATCAAAAACTGTCCTGTCACACTAACATTTCTTTGTAACCCTATCAAAATATTAAGAAATTATTCACAATAATACTTTGCCTTTTATTTTAGATTCAACAAAATAAGCCTATCTGGATTGAAATGGTTGGAAATCTGGTACCAGTGTTAAGATCTGATGAACAGTTGAACTTTGCCATTCGACCATTCCATGATAACAGAATTACATTCCCAGTTCGATTGCGAGACGTACTGGATCATGAACCAGATTCAAGTACAGTTACTGGAAAAATTGCATTTGTACGTGAACCACGCAAAGCTCAAACAACTTTGGATATGACTAGCGCACAACAGCAACGTCTAATCACTCTATTAGAATTCAAGCTACCAATTCCAGATAAAACTATTGTGATATCTACAAGAGGTAATGTTGAAAAGATTAATAAAAGTCAAATTATAGTGCTCTGTTTGCGTACAACGTCTACTGACATTTTACTATTATCACGTTTGAAGGATATTTTAAATGTGAATAGTGACAAACACAGTAACCTGTATGTTACATGGCACCATTGTTTAAGAGCTTTGGAGAGAAGCAGAAAAGACATTACTTTCCCAGTATTTTTACGTTTCTTCAGCTGAATAATTTAGTTAGGAAACCTCCATTATTTCAGACAACAGTGACAGTTTCTAAGAGAACTAGGATGTTAAATTCATGGCTTCACTTACATCGCTGGGTCGAAAAATTGAAAGCTTGTAGAGGTATTCTGTTAGAATATAAGATTTAGCTGGAGAAAAATTACTTAATTTTATATTAATACATTTGAAAAACCTAAATACATGTTTGAATTCATAATTTAAAATAAACGTTAGAATCACTAATTTTTAATCATTAGGATATCACATACACATCATTATTGTATTACTAAATATGTATTATTTAGCCAACTGTATTTTTTACAATTAATACTCTTTGAAAGACTTAGAAAAACGAATGGTTTTTTCAATTTAGTGAAAACGGAACCCAACAGGTTTGCAGCAGACAAGTCGAATTTAACTGACCCATTACAAAATAGGTGAAAGCAAAGTGTAGATATTTTCATAACAAACAATATACATTGTAGTAATCTTCAAAACATACTAAATCAAAAAGTATTGTTGTCTTGAAAAACAAGTATAAATAATGTAGAACCAGATATTATCAGACGGTCTGAGCTTGATTGTCCACCAGGCACTTGAAATCGGCGGAGATTGTAAACGATTGGCGCCTCATCTTGGTTTCTCTGAACAGGATATTAAAACGATAGATAGAATTCCACTGAACGGTATAGCATCTAGTCGACTTGGGAATAAAAATCAGTGAGTGGAAAATATGATTAATTTATGGTAACACAGAGCAACGTTATGAGGTTTGACAAAGATGCTTTAGGTAAGTGATCTATGGAATCTTTCTGTGGACTAAATGATCCTATAAAAGCACAACATAGACCAGCGAAATAGACCACGACTAGCTAGATTCTAACCTAGCAGATAAGTTCAAAAACTAGCCTATCACTTCTCATCAAACAAAGAGTATTTTTTTCAATAAATTTTATTCAAGTTACATAGTTATACATATATCCAAACCAATCAAACAAAAAATTACCGAGTTTAAGGCAAATACATCTTTTGAAATTATGAAATGTGAATTTAGGATCGTTCGGAAAAGAAAATAAACTGATTAAGGCTGAAATGACTAGCATGTATTGTTAACTAGAATCAGTATATGAGTCAGTTGGATTTGTGAGATTATTAGTTAGAATAAATATGGATAACAAGAAGTGAGAGAAATAATAATGTGGGTATAAATTGCATCAGATGTTTAATGGAAGATAACTTAGTGCAGGAAATGGTAGGAATTAAGTAGGAAACAATAAAATGGGGTTAATCCTAACTAGTTTCTTCATGTGCTTACAAGACTAATAATAATGGTGGACATAATAATAATAATAATAATAATAATAATAACGCAAGGTCATGTGAAATAATAATAATAATAATACTGGTAGTAATAATAACAATTACAGTAACAATATTCGAACAACAGGAATTTGAAATATGAAAATACAAAAGGGGAAGACCGAATGTATATTGGTGAAACTGATACGACCACTGGCTTATTGGGCCTGAGATGGGTCAGGGTAAAAGAAGAGACTAAATAAATTTGTTTTGTACACGAAGCTTCGGTCTTTCAATCTGAATAACTAGTGCTTCCACCATCCTAATAACTTTGTTTGACGTTTTTGGCATACAATTGCCAATGCGATAAACTGCCAAAATGATTGATTTATGTTGACATTATGACCCATTTAAAACAAATGAGACATTACTGAGCTATTCATTGTATTGATTACGCTTGTGCTTAGCCAGTGTGGAAAGTGTTTACGATCCCGAAACCGTAAGTTCCTAGAAATCCAGCCAACGTAACTTGTTCCACATGCTTAACTGAACTGAAAACGAAGGTGACTAATCAAGATAATTAGTCTTTTACTCTCGAAGTCACCATTGTACATTATTCGTAGCTTTCCTGCATCGAACGTCCTTTGAACTGTTGTGATAAGTCTCCCCAACATTATTTCACTGTGTGCAACGCCTCTGAATTTCAGGCACATAGATAACTCCTATAGTTTGGGTATTTATCACTTTTGTGATCATATATTTGTTCATGCACATTCCATCATATCCACTTCCTCTAAAAATATTGCACAAGGCCTTTAGCTCCTCTTCAGCTTCATCAGTTGAGCATATGGTCATTGAGTTTCTTTTGCACTTCAGTAGTAGGAAGTTAGGGAAACGTGTACATTGTTTTGTCCAAGTACTTTTATCACTTAGATCTATCAGCTCTTTTTGTCAGTAGGATATCCAAAATGCTATTCTGCCTTCACTTGCCTCTCCGTTTGTAAGCTTATTTGCAGGACGCACTTATTAGATTGCCTTGAAACCTCTAGTTTTTCTATAATGTCTTTATAAAGGATGAACGTATCTTTCATATATCAACAATAAAATCTGAAAAACTTGTCTTGTGTTAAGATGACAGTCGTGTGTGGTACGCATACCTAATGAGAGCAAAATTCATTAACTATGTATTGCCTCCACTGAGGGATTTTTGATAAAATCAGATGATTTGATTAATGACATGAATCGAACATGCTGCATCATTTATAAAATAAAGATAAGTAAACAAATAGATGTGTTGCATTATTGTGTTGACCAAGCTGATTGTTCATCGTATATTTAGACAAACCAGCTGTTTACAACAAGTAAAAGTGATTATTGTTGTTCACATAATAAGAAATGGATTGAACAAAATGCAATAAGTAGTCAAGGCTTACTTATTAATTATTAGTTACCATGGGAAGGCTAATCGTACTCCATCTCCCTTATTAATATTGTTTGTGTAGGGCTTTAGCTGTTAATCTCTCTTTTTCTGAACTAAAACCTTTTCGGTAGATTCTTGTGCCATTGAAATCGGTTGTATGACTAGGCTCTATTGAATCTAATTCTATCATTGACTTGTTTTCTAGTTTTTGTTCGGGTAAGACATTACGGCAGCTGAATGTCAGGGTAAAGGCACACAAATTTGCTTGAAGCACATTCCTAAATCAGATTTCAGAAAACGATCTTAATTTTCAGCCGAGAATTTAGGAAGCAGCACAAACTGTTGGTGACTTAATGATTAAATTTGCAGATAATTTCATACATGACTTCTAGTGCCATTAAATCATAAAAAGTAGCCTGTTGTATAAGGTAAATAAGAATGATAGTACTTGAGTGCCAAGAGTCTTGAACTGGTTTCTTTTTTTGGTATAAAATGTTAGTCACCTAGAATAATGATGGTTTGTTACCATTCTGATCGTTCAAAGTAAGAGCTCAGTGAAATCATGTTCTTAGTGATGTACTGGACAAGACACCTTTGTGGTGTACAAGTGCACAAATTTACATGTTTAGTCTCTAGAATTTCATCTTCTAAAAACTGTATTTTGCTTATCGGGACGTCTGAACAAAAGACATGGAAGCTATAAGTTGAAGTTTAGAAAACTGGAGACTTGTTTGTCTAAAAATTCCTTTATTTATGGATCAGAAATCCTGTTATGAGATTCTAAAGTTAATAATAAATTTAGAAACGTCATGTACGCTGAATTTTATTACTTTTTATTTGAAGATCCCTGACATATCTGCGTTCTCAGTGGTTAGCGAGTAGCCCGAAATTTCCACAGCTATAATTCATAAACAACTGTGAAGCTTTGTATTTCATTTCAGCCGAACGAACTCTTGTCTATTGATTCCGTTAGTGTTCATAATGTTGATAGTTTTTTCAGGTACACATAATTCGGTACTTAATATTACTAGTTACTACAAAAATGTCAAAATAACGAAACATGATTGGTAACGTAAAATGCAGACAGCCCAGGGTTTCTGGCAGATAATTTGTCGTTGACCAGAGAAACCTCATTACTGTATTTTATTTCTTATAACTGATCAAGTTGTATCACGTTATGGTGTATGAAACTAAGAAATGGTCAGCCATTAGGTCTTTTAGCTTGATCAATTGATCAACGAGTTTGGTAACTGACATTATAGTTACCGTGATTCTATATCATCTTCAGTTACCACGTTTCTAACAAAATAAAGTGCTTTAAGCCAGTCATCTTAGCTGCTAAAAACAATGATTATTCAGATTCACACATTATCGATTTCAGCCACGTTTTTATGCGTATTGCAAAACCTCTCTTGTCACCTTCACATAAATGTTGGCGACAACACTTAGTAACTGGAACGATATTGAAACATAATTAGCATTTGCCTTATGAAGTCAGTTCTTAGAAAATTATTATGATATCTAAAATCACCTTTTTGGGATTGATTTCAAGATGTTGGCTTAATTTCATTTTCGCTCATCAACACGGTTAATTTCTGCTTTGAGGAATAAATTTAGTTTATTATTATTACATCTTTATTTTTTATTTTTGTCATTATCATACACCTAGATAATCGTCTGGCTGACGCGCTCACTAAAATAACTCAGTTTGACGCTATTCCTCCAGTCATGACTGACTTACACCCAGTAACGACGAAAGAAGAAAGAATAACTGAAACTGACGTCTTCGAGGGACGACCTATCCTGCCATTGGTTGCTAAAGAAATTTTACCACAAGTAACATTAAACGAAGTACTGACATATCCGAGACGTGAAGCAATAAATAGTTCTTTAGGTTAGATGCTTTTTGAAATTTTTTGAAAGACCATTGTTATTACTGTTAATTTCATAGTTCTAGGTCTTATGATAAAGCGTTCGAAGCTGCATTCTATCATTAATACAGTAATACGTAAAACGAAGACTCAATTCGGAAAAAAATCTTTGAATGTTACTAGAACTGTGACACTGTTACCTACGTCTGAATTAACTTTATTGCAACTATTTGATACTAGTTACAAACCAATTCATTGACGTGCTGGCTAAAATTACCCTCAAAGTAACCGAAAAGAAAATAATGACTTATTTGGCTTTAGAATGATTATTTTCACTAGAAAAAAATCACATACAATCTGTTTCTAAACATCACTGTAGTGTTTTTACAAAGTACCCAACGAAAAAAATCGTTCTCTTTTTTATCAATATTAATATTTAATAACTAAGCAAGTTATAAAGTATAACGAAAAATGACAAATGTGTGTAGATTAAAGTAAAAATGTTGACACTGTTGCTTGACTACTTGCTGTTTGCACGGACTTTCATTTTTTTAAAGAAAGAATTAGTTAATATAGCCTCATGTATTTTATGGCAAAATCATCTTATATTTCTTGTAACGTTGTCGTTGGTAATCGGATAATTTTATTTTTTCTTAATCAGTATAATTAGGTTCAATAGGTTTGTAAAGATTTCATAATTCATAGTCGGCTTGTATGTGTTTTGTTTAAATTATAAGTAAGGGATTTTGTGATTTTAGAAATTTCAATAGTCGACTGAAGCTAGACCACCATGGGAAACACGGAAGCAATTTCGTGGATTGGTTGAAGTTAAACATTAACACCTTTGGACGCCGGCTCAGTTGTCTAATGGTCATGCGCTCGCCCGCGAGACTAGTAAGTCATGGGTTCGAATCTTGCGGGGTGCGGGATCGTGGATGAGCACTACTGAGGAGTCCCATACTAGGACGAAACGACCGTCCAGTGCTTCCAGGTTTTCCATGATGGTCTAGCTTCAATTGACTCATGATTTCAACTATTTAAATTATAAGTGATAATATGAATATGCTTTTACTTACCACAATGCCCTCATTTATAGTAGGGCTTACCTATCTCTTTTCAGTATGGCCAAATTAGTTAAAAATTAGCTTTAAACATGCAGGACGATATCAGACTTTCAGAGGTGCAGTAATAAAATTATACAAAATGGAATAATTTTAAATGCCGGATTACTGAGATATTCGCTGTTTTCCTTTTTATATGACAGCAATGTTTTATGTAGCTCATTAAGTGAATGTGTTCTCATTTGTTTTGTTATTCCTCAGAGAAATTCATAACTGGATTCAAATTTTGTCACAACATTTACACTTTACATATTCTTCTTGTTCTCTTTTCACACTTTTTGTCTTGAGAAATTCCTATCTTCGTGTAGGTGTAAAGTGTAGCAATTTGAACAAATTGTTTTTTGGGCGAAATTCTCAATTTTTTCGTTACTGACCATTCGACATTTGAGTTAACTTTGGTTAAGCTAATGAATTTAAATAATTACTAGTCAAAGATTACTTACTTACTTATTTACGCCTGTTACACTTCATGGAGGGGCATAGGCCACTCACCAGCATTCTCCATCCAACTCTGTCCTGGCCCAACCTTTCCAGTTGTTCCCAGTTGCTATTGATCCTTTCCATGTTTGCTTCCAATTCCCGACAGAGTGTGTTCTTCAGCCTTCCTATTTTCCGTCCCCCTTTACGATTCCACATTAACGCTTGTCTCGTGATGCAGTTTGATGATTTCCACAATGTATATCCTGTCCACATCCAACGTCTTTCCCTTATCTCCTCTTTAGCTGGAAGTGGGTTTGTTCTCCCCCATGGTAGGCTGTTGCTGATAGTATCCGGCCAACAAACATTTAGTATCTTAAGTAGACAATTGTTTATAAATGCTTGCACCCTTTAGGTGATGGTTGTGGTAGTTCTCCCATTTTCAGCTCCGTACAGTAGAACTGTCTTGTCGTTCGTATTGAGGATTGTGACTTTGATGTTGGTTTACAGTTGTTTTGAGTTCTATATGTTCTTGAACTCTAAGGATGCGGTCCCTGCTTTGCTAATCTGTGCCTTTACATCTGCATCAGATCCTCCTCGTTCATAGATGATGCCTCCCGGATAGATAAGTGAATGTTTCTACCACTTCGAGAGTTTCTCCATCAAGTGTGATTGGGTTTGTGTTCTCCGTGTTGTATTTGAGGACCTTGTTTTTCCTCTTGTGTATAATGAAGCCTACTGATGCAGAAGCATCTGCTACACTGGCTGTCGTCGCCTGCATTTGTTACTGTGTATGGAATAAGAGATCCAGGTCATCTGCAAAGTTCAAATCGTCTAGTTGCATAAAACCTTTCCGTTATATTCTGTGCTTCTCCTCAAATATCAAGGTCTTCATAATCCAATCAACTACCAAGAGAAAGAGAAAGGGTGAGATTAGGCAGCTTTGTTAAAGATGGATATGTATAATTAACTCTATTTTTTATTGACTCACAGAATTGAACTAATCGTCCTGGATTCCTCAACTATTAAACACACCATGTCCACTTCGTTAGCTGTGCTTATACCATTAGCTTTGTTTAGTACGTTTTTAATAGGAAAATCGTAGAATATAATCAGGAACCATCGCTTTAATTTCAATAAGTAAACTACTGAATAATGGAGTGATGATCTAATTGATCAGCTTGAAAACCAATCTAAGAAACATCAGTTTGTCTGTGAACTATCGCCATACATCAAATCGGCTTAAATGTCAATGGTAGGTACAACTGAATATGAAAACTTGGAGTAAATAAGCTCACAAGTTCTGAATTAGTTATAGGTGCTCAAAAGTATAAAATATCAAAGTTAACTATAAATACTCGAATAAATTATAAGGCGTAATAAATTTTTTTAAAAGCTTTTGGTAAACGGATAGCAAGGAAACGAATCTAAAAAGTATGATTGCATAGTTGTTTAAAATAATAGTACTTCGAACATGACACAGAAGATCACTTGCGAGGTCATCAATATTATTTTAAGTACCTACTTGTTAGTCAAACAAGTAATTTTATCACGTACTGTAGTGCAACATACATTCTTTTAAAAACTCAACTTATCAGACCTTTTTGATTTGTATTTTATTTTAAAATGGCAGTTGGTTACATAATTTAGACTATCTAGCATACAAACTGTGATTTACTCTCTCTATTATTCCCTCTACATATTTTCAGTGCACAGATAGGATTCCAAACTTTATTCATATAAGATGAGTACCTTTCGCCTATTTTTAATCATTGAAAAACAAACATTTGAAAGTTAGCAGATATTTAAAATTTTGTTTGGTAATTGTATAACACTTCTTTTTCAAACAGACATGAAATATCAGAAAATGGAAGAAAAGAGAAAACAAGAAACAGATACAGTGTTTTCTTGGTCTGAAAATGCATTTCTTTCGTCAGATGAAGGTGTTTCGACCATTTCGGCTTCTGGTGAGACAGATGATCTTCGTAAACCAGAAGGTAAAACCAAATTTCATGCAAATTATTTCCACTTCATGAAATACTTAGTTTCACTATATAGCATGATGTGGTATACATGCTAAGGGTTGAATACTATGCTAAAAATTACTCAAATGTGTCAGAAATTCATCTTAGGAAGAACAGAATGTGTGTTTCATTGGTCAAGCAATACACAGGTTAAAACACTAAATTTGACTTTAATCGGGCACCGTTTAAATTAATTTATTTTCCGTTCAAGTGGTGTTTTTAAGAGGAGATTTCTTTTGAAACAGCTTTGATCGTTTACTTAGTTAAGGTGATAAACTAAAAAGTAATACCCATTAAAATCATTAGTCAAAAATCTCTAAACTCACTTCCTACTTGGAACGCAGACTGAATGGTTAAAATACGCATTCAACACAAATGCATTGATGAACTTATAGCAGCTGAAATGATTACAAATGTTGATGTAAATTACTAAATTTTCACTACCATTACTAGTGAATGCTTATGTCTTGTCACCACGTAGATTCTTTATTTTATATATAAACTCAACTAAACACATGCCCCGTAACATATAAGACTAAGAACCTTTTAATATCCATAGAAATAAAAGTTTGATCAGTGAAAAATAAACCCCAAAATATTGATGCACGACAAACTAATAATAAGTAAAATACGAATAAAAACTAATTTATAATGCTTTGAAAGTATTTTGGGGGAATTTTTGACAAACTTTGTTACTAGACTTGTTTCATAGCAGTCTAACAGTACTTTGTGTAAAATATATTACTATGTTTTACACTTATTTCATCTTCTACCAAAACATTTTATCAAAAGTCGTTTAATAGCTCCACATGTACAAAGGATGATTGTTAAACGTGAACATTACTGACACAATTCACTTGATATTGTTTTACTTGAATCTTCCCATTGATGTTTTTGGACTGAAATTGATCAGTCTCTTATTGGCATATGTGGCTAAGTGGATAACGCGATGGCGTTTGAAGTGAACGGTACTGAGTTCGAGTCCCAGAGTGAACATCAACTCTGAGATGCAGGTACATCCAGCTGACGAGTCCCAAACAGGACGAAACGCGCGTCCTGGATTCCACTGCTAGCCACTATCCATCTTTGCTTATAATTACTGACACAATCCACCCATCAGAACTTTATTGTTGCACTGCTCTCTTTTTTTAGTAAAAAGAGTTCAAATTTTACAAACTTTGACTGGGAATAAAATAACTCATTCTATTCGTGTATTTTATTTGTATTTCGATGAATTAGCAGCAGTTTTACAGTCTGTTTCACAGGCTGATGTTACAGACCAAGAAAAACTTCCTGTTGATGTTCATACTGTTCCAACCATGTTTACTTCAGTTGAAAATGCATCAGATCAGATATTAGTGTTAAGTCACTATGACGACGTCACTGAAGAAAAACCACATGTTCACTGGCAAGAAGCTTTGCTAACACATTTGGAATCAGTTGGCGTTCGTTTAGATTTGCCAACAAAGTTCAGTCAATTAGCAGACAAGCAAATCGAAGAACCAGATAGTCAAATAACAGAAGTTTTCATGAAACCAATATCTCAATATGTTGAACATAAATCTACTTCAACTGACAGAAAACAGATAAAATATGTCGTACAAGAATTATTAGATGCCATTGGACCACAATTCGTCGACACTGCTTTAGGTAAGCAAAACTATTATTGTAGCGTTTTATTATTCTTATTAAAAGTATGCCAGTATGATTCATAATTCTTCCCTATTAGGCAAAAGAGCTTTTTTCTTCCCATTAATCTGTATACTAATCTGATTTCTGAATAATGGTGAACTGAAACATTTGCTAAAAGTGAAAATTGCAAACAGCTTTTTTAATTATTTTTCCGTCCATTGACTTGGCCTAGTGTCTCACCACTAATTAGCTCTCATTAGTTATGATTTATTGAATTCAGCTTTTCATCAGCAATGAGCAGAATTATTCTGAAATTCACTGATAAATAAGGACATTTTATAATTTTCCATATATATTAAGAAAGCACAAAACGATAGCACCATCCCAAGATACTGTGAAAAGATTCATTCAATTAACGATAGTTTTACACCAAATCTTATTACACTCCAGCTCAAACTGTCTTTTATAAATGACTCAATGTATTCTCATAAAATGACTCTGCACCACTTTTTGCCTGTTTGTATTAGCCTAAAAATCTTCAAGTTAACTATTAATCAGATTGTATTTATGTATTATCAATAAGTAGAAATTTTTTGAAATTATCACTCACTTAGGCACACCTAGTTTCCGCTATTCAAAGCACAAAGTCTCGGTACAGATTAGCTGCCTAAAGTAATTTGAATATGCAACAAACTGTATGTCCCTTTGTTAGCTATGTTCTTTTCACTTAGTGTACATGAATCACAAATAATACTCGCCCGACCACAAAGCATTAGATGAGTAGCAAAAAAGTGTTTGAATCAATAAGCTACAATTAATTACCTAAATTCAAAACAATAGTAACCTTGCTACTAAAGAGTTAATTTTAGTACACAGTACTCGGTACAACGTTACTCACTAATAGAATGATTTTTTCATGAACTAGTAAACAGAAAGATTCGTTATAAACTGTAAATGGTCAGCACAAAAGCAAGCATGATGTTAATATATTAAATGGTGATGAAAATGAATAACAAAGAATCTAATATTCTATATCATCATTATAGAATTATTTACGACTACATTTCCTTATCAAAAATCTGAAACTGTTTTGCTTGATTTAACTTAGTTGAACAACTACTGCCAACTGATCGTGGAGAAATAATGGAAAATATAATTGAACCTAGAACATTTGATCGTAAGGAACAGACAATCTCACTTTTGAAGGATTCTCAAAGAGTTAGAACCATATCGACGGTAACACCTCAATCCCCTCCTGTTCATAGTACAAATAAAAGTGGAATATCCGAATCTATAGATACACTGAGTACTGAGTTCATTATTCCACAAATCTTTCCTACTGAAGAAGACATGTCAACTGAGGAGGTCATCAGAGTTAGTAGAGTCCAAGAAACAGATGAAGCACTTAAAAAACGAGTCTCAACTAAACAATCATCTATAATGTCATCTACAATAGCAATGGAAGGTAAATATTTGGGTTTTCCCTAGTATTTGTGATCACACCCCACATATATGTTAATGTATAGTCGCCTCTGACATCTAATTTACAACAGTTTCTCTTTCTGAAGAATATAATGCATGAATAATAATGATATATTGACTACATTCTGTAGTGATTATAAATTAAGAGTTAAAAGCTGATATTACCTATGTTTATCATAGTGAATATGAATTACCCGATCGTATATTTAAATAATTTAGTACACATACATTGAATAAAAGTGAGTGTAGAGCTTGATTTTTAATATGAAATCAAATTGTATATAGCTGTCTAAATTACAACTTCATCAGCGGACGAACTTCCAAATAGGACATTATTTTGATACATTAAACATACCAAGATGAGACTAAATACTTTCCTAAAAGGCACAAAATATTAGGTTAATTAGTAGTCGCCATCATAAGCTGTAACACTGATAACTATGACATTGATAGCTATAACATTGAATAACCACAAGATATGATTCAATTTGCAATGAAGGTGAAAATAATAAACATCCAACCACTTAAATTTGACAAACTTTTATTAATTTATCATGTTCAGATGTTTAGCAGTCTGATGGACGAACATAATACCTGAAATTAAATAAACATCACCAAAACAATTAAATAGAAACTACTTCCAATAGTCGTCCCTCACATTTTGTTGACTTATTTCTTTAGAAAATTAGAATTAATCATCATTAAATCTGGCAAGATTTCACTTATTTGTTTATACGTCTAAATACTATCAAAGTTCAGCGTCAAAAGTATATTAGGTCAAGTACAAAGTTGACTGAGATACAGTATGCCGTCATGCAGTGAAATTCTACTTGTAGAAATCTTCGATTCATTCATAATTCTGTTGGGAAGTTTGCTTGTTGATCGATAGAATCATTGTTCACTTCAAATGTACACCTCCTAAAATGACACAATTTATTTGAAGGGGAAATTGTGAAAAATTCTTAAGCAGTTCTTTAAGAAATCGTGCTTACCACTTTACGTCTTGGATCTAACCCAATACAAGGTTTTAGTGTGAACTGATGAAGAATCCCAAAACACGTAGCACTAGATATCCAGTGCCTCATAGATTTTAATAGTTCACTTGTTGATTATATTTTTGCTGATTTTTTAGGCATATGTATACATCAGAAGTAGTTTAATAGTTCTGTATATGTGACTTTTTCATTTGATATGGGGATTTATTTTTTTTTACCGAGTAAAACTTTTGAACCACTAAATCAACCACTTTAAATGAATATTCGTTTTGCCTTCATAACAAAGAGAAGCATGTACACCAATATAGTTTTACAAAGTTCAATGCTTTTTCAATAAGCTAATAGTAACAATTAGTAACGACTTTCAAGCCCAAGTTATTAACTAGTTATCATTATTTCTTTATCGTGAGTGCACTAATCATTAAAATCTTTATAAGATGAATACAGAACAAATTGTAAACATGTTTGCCTAAATTTAATAATAGCACATGCCTTATGGAACGTTTCAATATTTTAGAAGACAGCTACATATCTCCACAAGAAGTGAATGAAGAATTCCCTCTTCCGTGGTTAGAAAACTTGCAGGATGAAGAATCATTCGAAAATGCTTATCAGAGAGCAGTACTAACCAACAATATTCAACAAATCGACAGAGTTCAAACTTGCAAAATCACAGAACCTGAAGTCTTAAAAATGAAATCTGATATTAAAATACCTCACACCGTGAACGAACCTCAGATTCCATCACCATATAAGTCTCATTCAGATTCGGTCAGTACCGAAGTGATCCAATCAATGCCGAAAGAATCGCGTGAAATCGAAGAAGTTGAGGAAGTTCTACCTGACGGTACGGTTGTCACAAAACGCACAGAATCTGAAGAAACCACTCTCTCAGTTACTCCGGATGAATGGAAATTGGGTGTACAGGCAGCAATTGAGTCTGGAGGTTATTTGGTTGAAAAACCAGAAGAAATCACAGAAGTAAGTTAACAGGATTAACTTCCATTTTATTTGTTAAGTGGTTCACAGGTCCTTAATAATAACTTTTCTGAGTTTCAACGAGTTCTTGAATATATACCTGATTGAAAAAGTTCTCCACCTGATGTTACGGTGTCATGTGAACAACCTCAAACTTTAAAAAGTCGTCACAACTCGCTTGACTAGACTGTTACATTACATTAAATAAGAAGTTATAATAGATTCAGGTTGTTCACACCGTCTTTCACCGTTCAGTAAGAGTGTTATGTTCAGCTCTTTTAACTTTTTTTTTCTTTTCATGTAGTGTGTAAATTCTGTTTATTTGAGTGCAATGTCTATTAGAGATTTCATTTTAGGTTACTGAATTTATTCACGACTTTCTGACGTGTACACATCTAATATTAAACGATCTAACATAACGGATAAGAAACACATGAAGAAAATTTAGGGTTTGAAATCAGGCCTTTAACGGAAACTGAACTATCATATGTAGCATCCTCCTAAATAATAAACAAAAAGATATCTGCAAGGGCTGAATATAACACATTCAATAACTGACAATTGAGCTTGGACTGACAAACATCAACTATTCAATATGCGGTTTCCGTTTTATAATTGATTTCTACTCTAGACACAGTGGTTGTTACTTACCAGAGTTACTCCTGTTACCCTTCATGGAGGGGCATAGGCCACTCACCAGCATTCTCCATCCAACTCTGTCCTGGCCCAACCTTTCCAGTTGTTCCCAGTTGCTATTGATCCTTTCCATGTTTGCTTCCAATTCCCGACAGAGTGTGTTCTTCAGCCTTCCTATTTTCCGTCCCCCTTCACGATTCCACATTAACGCTTGTCTCGTGATGCAGTTTGATGATTTCCACAATGTATATCCTGTCCACATCCAACGTCTTTCCCTTATCTCCTCTTTAGCTGGAAGTGGGTTTGTTCTCCCCCATGGTAGGCTGTTGCTGATAGTATCCGGCCAACAAACATTTAGTATCTTAAGTAGACAATTGTTTATAAATGCTTGCACCCTTTAGGTGATGGTTGTGGTAGTTCTCCCATTTTCAGCTCCGTACAGTAGAACTGTCTTGTCGTTCGTATTGAGGATTGTGACTTTGATGTTGGTTTACAGTTGTTTTGAGTTCTATATGTTCTTGAACTCTAAGGATGCGGTCCCTGCTTTGCTAATCTGTGCCTTTACGTCTGCATCAGATCCTCCTCGTTCATAGATGATGCCTCCCGGATAGATAAGTGAATGTTTCTACCACTTCGAGAGTTTCTCCATCAAGTGTGATTGGGTTTGTGTTCTCCGTGTTGTATTTGAGGACCTTGTTTTTCCTCTTGTGTATAATGAAGCCTACTGATGCAGAAGCATCTGCTACACTGGCTGTCGTCGCCTGCATTTGTTACTGTGTATGGAATAAGAGATCCAGGTCATCTGCAAAGTTCAAATCGTCTAGTTGCATAAAACCTTTCCGTTATATTCTGTGCTTCTCCTCAAATATCAAGGTCTTCATAATCCAATCAACTACCAAGAGAAAGAGAAAGGGTGAGATTAGGCAGCTTTGTTAAAGATGGTGGTTGTGACTGTTTGTAATTTCGCGTAATAAAATATTATATAGCGCATACTCTAGTTCCAAATTATCATTAGTGAATGGGGTATCTGGCATAACGCGATACAGTCTGAGTACATCGTGTCAATCGAGTATCCAGTATCCAGTCTCAGTTACCGACCGTATAATCGTATTATACTAGTATTTCGTGGAAACAAGAAAACCTTTGTATTCTCCCGCTTTATCAGAACCGGGTAAGGTTGTGCAAACAAACCTAAATTTTTTTAGATGTTTAGATTAAATTGAACGACACTTTGATTTTTAGCTTCTCAGAATAACGTAGTTCTATGTTAATCTAACACCATTTTCTTATTTTAGGTGGAACAAGTTGAAGAAACACTAGCTGATGGAACTATAATAACTCGCTTAATAACAACAAAAAAAGTGGTTGATAGAGTTTTTGAACGTTCAATTTCAGAAGAGCAGTCCGTATCATCTGGTGTGAATGAAGAATTGTTTGTAGAAACAGATTCAACGATACCTGAAGTTTCAACTACAGAAGACCAATTTTTCTATCATGGTAACATTTTTAGAAGTGAAATTGTTTAACTGTAAAATGTACAATTTCTCGTTTTAAGTGTAAAAGAGTTATTAAAATCTAGAAAAAATAAATGGACTTAATCTCAACAATCTATAAGGCTGTATTAATGAAGAATAGTTCTAAAATCCCATATTCTTATTATGGCTGTGTCATGGTATCTATCAAAAAACAAAATAGATAATATTAGAACCTTTATTCTATGTGAACACTGAACACAATTTCATAATATTCATGTTAGCTAGTGAATAGAATATAGGTCTTTTGGGCAAAATATTGACGGATCAGTTTATCAAATATTTCAAACTAAACGGAAGGTAGGTAATATTAATACAAAAACTAATAAGTTTTTATAATCACTTCATATAGTTGATATAAAGACGATCATATTATCACAGTGTGCAATTGGCTAGAATGTAGCCCATGTGAAATAAAATTTACGCTTGTATGTGCATGTTGCTTGGTAGTTTATGATTATGAACAAGTTGAAAAGCACACTCAATCAGATGCATATCTCCCCAAAAACTACCTAGATAGTCAGATTGTAATATTGAGCATTTTATCCTTAATTTACATGATTAAATGTTTACTTAGTTTTTCTGCTTGCTTCTTCAGAAATGATATATACCTGAATTGCGTGATGGTTATGTTATGCCTTTGTTTAAAGTTTTTGCGTTGCATCTGGTTTCTGTTACTTTTTTGTTTGTTTTTTTTCTTTTCCTTGAAAAACTCTATCAACAAATCTAATTTTCATTCAACAAAATCTTAATGCGAACCACGTACTATAAACAAAGACCAAAAACTTCAAGAAGAACAGAATAATGACTTAAGTAAACCAGGGACTATTTTACCAAATTTAACAGACAATAAACGGAAAGAGCAAATAACTATTTCAGAGACTGGTAGAAAAACCAACGATATCAAAGATATACTAACTGAAAATGAAATACAAGTTACACAATCCGGGCATGATGGAAAATCAACACACGTATTCAAGGAAGAATACATAATTTCAGCAGAAGAAACAGAACATACAGAAACAAGGAAAAATAGACAATTACAACACGCAACACTAGAACAGGAAGACTACACAATAGGCGAAGCAAAAATAGAAGAAAATACAAACGAAACGGAACGAAAAATAGCAGCTATTAAAACAAATTCAAAGGACCTAGAAGAAATTGACGGCGGCGCCATCAAAAAATCAATATCCAAAGAAACGAAGTGCAAGAGAAACATCCTTGATGAAAACCAAATACAAAGCGAAATAAAAGTAAGAAAAAAAATAAAAGAAAGAGAGATGAAAGAAAGTAAAATAAAAAAAATGACACACATGAAACGTCAAAACGATGAAACAGACGAAAAACAAATACATGAAAATCAACAAACAAAAACATATGAACTGAATCAGGAAACAAAAACAAAAATATACAAAGTGCAAAAAGAGGAAGAAAAAGCCAAAAGAGAAACATATATAAAAGGCGAACGTGAGATAAAGCCGGAATATGGTGAAGTTGGTGAAGGCGTATTTGAAGGGGAGACGGAAGCCGAGTCGGCAGTCGAAGTGTTCGGTGAGAGATTGGGGCAAGTTGAAGCGGACGCAGAAAGTGAAGCGGTAGAACAGGTTGAATCGGAACGTGTGTCTGTGTTCGCTCCAGTCGAATTGGAGTCTGAGGCGCTTGCAGAGACTGCAGCACAACCGGAACGGGAACGATTGGTTGAGCGTGTCGGTGAGATGGAGGCGGAATATGGTGAAGTTGGTGAAGGCGTATTTGAAGGGGAGACGGAAGCCGAGTCGGCAGTCGAAGTGTTCGGTGAGAGATTGGGGCAAGTTGAAGCGGACGCAGAAAGTGAAGCGGTAGAACAGGTTGAATCGGAACGTGTGTCTGTGTTCGCTCCAGTCGAATTGGAGTCTGAGGCGCTTGCAGAGACTGCAGCACAACCGGAACGGGAACGATTGGTTGAGCGTGTCGGTGAGATGGAGGCGGAATATGGTGAAGTTGGTGAAGGCGTATTTGAAGGGGAGACGGAAGCCGAGTCGGCAGTCGAAGTGTTCGGTGAGAGATTGGGGCAAGTTGAAGCGGACGCAGAAAGTGAAGCGGTAGAACAGGTTGAATCGGAACGTGTGTCTGTGTTCGCTCCAGTCGAATTGGAGTCTGAGGCGCTTGCAGAGACTGCAGCACAACCGGAACGGGAACGATTGGTTGAGCGTGTCGGTGAGATGGAGGCGGAATATGGTGAAGTTGGTGAAGGCGTATTTGAAGGGGAGACGGAAGCCGAGTCGGCAGTCGAAGTGTTCGGTGAGAGATTGGGGCAAGTTGAAGCGGACGCAGAAAGTGAAGCGGTAGAACAGGTTGAATCGGAACGTGTGTCTGTGTTCGCTCCAGTCGAATTGGAGTCTGAGGCGCTTGCAGAGACTGCAGCACAACCGGAACGGGAACGATTGGTTGAGCGTGTCGGTGAGATGGAGGCGGAATATGGTGAAGTTGGTGAAGGCGTATTTGAAGGGGAGACGGAAGCCGAGTCGGCAGTCGAAGTGTTCGGTGAGAGATTGGGGCAAGTTGAAGCGGACGCAGAAAGTGAAGCGGTAGAACAGGTTGAATCGGAACGTGTGTCTGTGTTCGCTCCAGTCGAATTGGAGTCTGAGGCGCTTGCAGAGACTGCAGCACAACCGGAACGGGAACGATTGGTTGAGCGTGTCGGTGAGATGGAGGCGGAATATGGTGAAGTTGGTGAAGGCGTATTTGAAGGGGAGACGGAAGCCGAGTCGGCAGTCGAAGTGTTCGGTGAGAGATTGGGGCAAGTTGAAGCGGACGCAGAAAGTGAAGCGGTAGAACAGGTTGAATCGGAACGTGTGTCTGTGTTCGCTCCAGTCGAATTGGAGTCTGAGGCGCTTGCAGAGACTGCAGCACAACCGGAACGGGAACGATTGGTTGAGCGTGTCGGTGAGATGGAGGCGGAATATGGTGAAGTTGGTGAAGGCGTATTTGAAGGGGAGACGGAAGCCGAGTCGGCAGTCGAAGTGTTCGGTGAGAGATTGGGGCAAGTTGAAGCGGACGCAGAAAGTGAAGCGGTAGAACAGGTTGAATCGGAACGTGTGTCTGTGTTCGCTCCAGTCGAATTGGAGTCTGAGGCGCTTGCAGAGACTGCAGCACAACCGGAACGGGAACGATTGGTTGAGCGTGTCGGTGAGATGGAGGCGGAATATGGTGAAGTTGGTGAAGGCGTATTTGAAGGGGAGACGGAAGCCGAGTCGGCAGTCGAAGTGTTCGGTGAGAGATTGGGGCAAGTTGAAGCGGACGCAGAAAGTGAAGCGGTAGAACAGGTTGAATCGGAACGTGTGTCTGTGTTCGCTCCAGTCGAATTGGAGTCTGAGGCGCTTGCAGAGACTGCAGCACAACCGGAACGGGAACGATTGGTTGAGCGTGTCGGTGAGATGGAGGCGGAATATGGTGAAGTTGGTGAAGGCGTATTTGAAGGGGAGACGGAAGCCGAGTCGGCAGTCGAAGTGTTCGGTGAGAGATTGGGGCAAGTTGAAGCGGACGCAGAAAGTGAAGCGGTAGAACAGGTTGAATCGGAACGTGTGTCTGTGTTCGCTCCAGTCGAATTGGAGTCTGAGGCGCTTGCAGAGACTGCAGCACAACCGGAACGGGAACGATTGGTTGAGCGTGTCGGTGAGATGGAGGCGGAATATGGTGAAGTTGGTGAAGGCGTATTTGAAGGGGAGACGGAAGCCGAGTCGGCAGTCGAAGTGTTCGGTGAGAGATTGGGGCAAGTTGAAGCGGACGCAGAAAGTGAAGCGGTAGAACAGGTTGAATCGGAACGTGTGTCTGTGTTCGCTCCAGTCGAATTGGAGTCTGAGGCGCTTGCAGAGACTGCAGCACAACCGGAACGGGAACGATTGGTTGAGCGTGTCGGTGAGTTGGAGCGGGGTCATTTTAATAGTTTTCACTCTATTGACATTTTATCCTGTTATTCTCCATCTGCTTGTAGATTTGGAGATGTCGATTCTTTCCCTGTTACTTCTTTTTCTGATACTTCTTCCAGTCTTTATCCTGATTATATCTATAATTTAGCCGATCTTTATTGTGATCCTACATTGTCTGATCGTCAAGCTGCTATTTTTCCTTCTGTTGTCAGTTCGTGCTCTGAACCGCTTTCTTCTTCTCATGCTATTACAATTTGTCATGATGTTTCTTCTACACCTGTTGCTTCTTTCGTTCTCTCAAATGTGTCTAACGACCTTTCTTTTTCCTCTTCTTCCTCCCGTTTTGTTCATGCTGGTGTTTCTGACTTTACTCGTATGCCTTTAGATTCTGTGTCTTTATTTGATTCCGATGATTCAGCGTTTGTTTCAGAAGGCTTATATCTCGGTCTCAGTCAATTTGTTTCCCGTTCATCGGAGTCTTTCACTGAAATTCCTAGCTTTGTTATAGAAGACAGCGTCATTTCTGTTGATGCTCCTGACGTTTGTTTCACTACGTACTCTGGAGAAAGTCTTGGAGAGTTGTCTGATTGTCGACAGGCTGGCATATCTTCAGTACATGATATTTCCGTAGAATCAGTGCCTTTCTTTATACCTGAAGCTTCAGTTCTTGCTGTATCGGGATATGAATACAAATCATTAAATGAACTTGGATCAAGCAATAGATTACCATCTATTGTTCAGGACACTGCAAATGTAGTGGATTCACATGATATTCGGGAAGTATCTGAGGAGGACGTTGTTGGTAAAGATTCTTCAATAACCAATGGTCAAATTGTTTTGCAAACTTCTGGCTCATATCATTCCGCTTTTCGATGTGATCCTGAATATGGCATTTCAGATTATTCAAACAGCTTAATAACTGATAGTTTTGCTGAAATGATTATGAAAGAACCAAACCATGATACCGAAATCTTGTATTCACCTAAAGATCAAGATGCACTATGTTATCAGCTTCAATCAGGTGTGTCATTAGTAACTGAAACACCTACAAAGTCAGATGTTTTAGATAAATCTCCGCCCTCAGGAAAATCTGACTTGACTTATCTTGCAGCAGCATCAGGAGCAAGTGTAGCTATGGAATTTACTGAAGAGGAAGAGGAGGAAGATGAGTTCTCCATGGCGTGTTCTGGTAGGATGAAAACACTTGAACATGGTGATTCCAGTCAATTAGTTCATTCAGCTCTTGATAGGTCCGCTAAAATGCTTACTCGTCTTCAAACCTATGGATTTCGAGGGAATTTGGTGGGTACAAATTCGCTTGTTAATCTTAATTGGCATGCATCAGAAACAAAATTAACAACTCCATGCATAGAATTCCTCGAAAATGATGAGAATACTAATTCATTAGCCCATCAAAATATACCTACATCAAACGTACATATGAATAAGGTTACAGAGCTCGATCGCGAAGAATATGAGGACTTTGATGGTGATAGTCTTGAAGAATTAAATATCCCATTTGAAATTTGTAATACATATAACACATCACGTGAAATAATTACAGATGAAACTGAATGTGGAAACACTAGTCTGTTCCCGTTCCCTGAGACTGTTGCTACAAATCAAGTCTTCAACTATGACAATAAGTTAAAATCTGATACAGATTGTCAGCAAGACTCTTTTATTGAAAAAGAAGTATCTAGACGTCAACATTTAGATTCAGAACTTGTAATCTCCTCTCAATCCAGTTCCACTAAAAAGATTTCATTCAGCCCAGACCATGAATTACAAACAAGTTCCACTGCAGATGAATCTAGTTTAAGCAGTCACTCGACAATTGTGAATGTTGGAGTAATGAACCAGTCACCAGTTGTCCCTCAACTTATAAGAGGAAATCTAATCGACGAAAAGCTATTGTCTCAGAGTTTATCATCTCAGGAACATGATTTTGGTGTAGATGCACCCGATAGTATTCAGCTACTGGAGTCAAAAACCACCCTAGCATCTATTGAAAGCGATCTTGATATTCTTGGTGAGGAAATAAAGCTAAAAGATGATAATGCTATATTGCCACTTGGTCAGAATTCGGTTCACCTATCTAGCGTCGCTAAAAGAAAGCAATCAAATTTTATATCTAATCTATTAGGAACAGAGCCTGTGGTAGGAAGTACTGCATTACGAACATCTACAGATGTCAGTAACGTTTCAGTGTCGCAACCCATCTGTACTACTGAAGGACATATCAAGACAACACAACGCTACTTTCATGAACCAATCGGAGGACATGTCAGTTTTCCACAAATTTCAGAGGGTTCTTGTGATAAACAGTTAAAATTTTCTAATGATCGGGCTAAATCCTCGCCATCCAGTATTAATGTGGAAAAAAGAATAGAAACAAGTGATGAGAACGTTACCAGTAGCTCACTGTCCGAATTCGAACGACTAGAAAAAGAATTAGGTACTAGCAATTCTACTTCCCCTAGTAGTGGTCATAAAGGAAGTGGTGAAGATGTCAGTTCACATACGTCATCACTTTCTGAGTATCTACGTCATGAAAAAGAATGTGAAAGTTTCGATGAAATTTTGGCATTACCATTTGACTCAAAACTTAAACTAAAATTCAACGATTTAATAGATATAAATGGTAAACCAAAAACAGTGGTCACAGATATGTTAACTTCGAATAACCTAACACCACTTTATGGACAAATTTCAACGATTTACGAAGATGTGGCGGAACATCATATCAGTTCACTCTCACAGAGTATAGAATCTCCAACTACTTCACTTCATTCAGCTAAAGATGATGATCAAATATCATTTACATACTCAAGTCAAAAAGATGAAAATAAATCACAGACCGGTTGTTCTGATTCTGAACTTTTAATAATATGTTCGAAAATGCTCAGTGATCCTTTACAGGCCGAAAAATCTAAAGAAAGTTTAACTTCTAGTTCAGAAATAGAACCTTTGCTAGACAGGGTCGACGATCCACTGACAGGAGTAGAAGAAACTGATTCATTAATTTGTTCTTCGATCTATGACTCTTTAGTACCTTCTGGCTATGAAAACAGTATATACGATGGGACACCGAACATGAATTTCGGAGTAAATGATAACTGGAGAAACCGCATATCCCGCAGAATAGATTCATTAGATGAAAGCGAACATGAACAACCCAGTAAAGTTACTGACTCTCTCTGCTCCCCTTCATCGTCAGATATTTCAAACAGGAAAGGGGAAAACAAATTAAGTCCGCCGGAAGAAAATGATCAAGGTATAATAGAATTTAATCCTGCCCATATAGATATCTTACATCAACAATACATCGGAACTATCGTAGAGAAACAGTCTTGTACGGTATTTCCAAATAAATCTTGTTTAAATGAGAGGGAAAGCTCTATTACTTATGGAAAACAGCCTCAGTCAACGCATTCTGATGAAAAGCAAGACTCAAGTACATCTGTGTCAGGAGTTGCACAGTATGAATACCTTGATAAGCCAATACTTGGAAATTGTATGACAGACTCATTAGACGACAGCAGTTCAGTTATAGAACAACTAGGTACTAAAATATCTTCAATTGAATGTTCAGCAACCACTGAGTTTGTAACAACAGGAATACCTTCTTGTTCATTCTCTACAGCACCAATCCCCCTATTAGCTACTGAATCTAAAGCACTTAAATATTTTAAAGTTATAAAAACACTTAAAAGTGATGTTTCTTCAACTGTGGAAAAAGTTGCTGTTCCTACCACATCTGGGGCAATAGCTCTTCCAATATGTAGTAGTTCCTTACAAAGTACCTACCAAGATGGTGAAAGATATGATCTTATTTTAAAAATAGATTTGAACCCTCAGTCGACTGTATTCGATACTTCAGAAGATGAGATTCTTGTGCAAGAACCGTCAAATGATCTTCAACAACTGAATAGTGTAACGACTGATGACGTTTCAGCTGTAGCTGTAGATTCGAAAACGAAAGAAACCCTAAAAATGGATAATGCACCGTCAGGAGAAGTTAGTGAGGCATGTAAACAAATCAAATGTAAAGAGTTCAAAGAGTCGTTCATAGTTGAAACTTCCTCCGACTCAGATTATGAAATGGTCAGTATCACTGAGAGAGAAAAGTCACCAATAGCTTTCATGTCAGAAAAAATGAAGAAGGGTAATGAACAAGAGTGAAAAAGAAAGAAAATAACAACCTTAACCTTGGTAATGATGATCTGAATGGGATTGTTTGGTCTTCTTCATATCATGTCAACATAAAGCGTACCTAATTTATTAATTCTGTCTTTTTATGTCAGATTTACAAAGCATTTATTTTCCTACCTACTATTACTGTTATGGTTACTGTGATTATTGTTATTTTTTGCATTTCCTTCCTTTAAATCAATTTATATTCAGACATAAGCACATTTAAAATTCCTAACACTTATCTGTTTATCGACGCCTAAGATACATATTTTAAATTTTTTGTCTATAAAAATAAAGTAAAAGTAGAAAGAAGCATAAAATATTGCTGATTTGTATATACACAAACACATAGACACAGTAGTACATACCCCAGACATATTTATACACATAAAACAGCCTTTTATGATACAGTGGAATTTGCTAAGCTGAACTTCAATGTTGGTCGACTACACTGGACTCATAAATCTGGATATGATTGGTACCGACTGTTTAGAAGCAATTTTTCAACCTATATGAAAATCAAAGGTATTCATAGTTTCGTTTTTTATCAATATATTTTCCTTATGCGTTAGCTGCATTTGTAAGGCATGTTTATAATTTCTGTCTCATTAATTTCTCATCCGGTCTACTAACCAAACAATGAATAAACTATATTTTTTGTAATGTAGATAAGTTCTAAATATGCATGCAATACAAATCCAGTTTGAAGTACGTTTAGATTTAATACGCATGTTTTAATTAATTAATAGATTTACTAACCGTTGATACCCATCTTTTCCCATACCACTCCTCAGCAGACTACTGAGTGGAAACAATAGTAGTTAAACTAATTTTATTCGTAACATCATCACAAAATTTATAGTATAACTGAAGTCTTTATCTCAGAAGGGAAAGTATTTCACAACTGTATATCTAATGATGATTTAGATCAATATCGCATTCATAATTAGTTTGAAGATTTGTTGACTGATTATTTGGAACACAGTTTATATTATCAGAATTTAAATTTGTTTCTCTTCAGTTTTAAGGTTCTTGATATTCTAAGCGCTAAATGTCATCCGGGATGCAAGACTGAGAACTTCAGATGGATCAAAAAAGGCTTAACAACTAAGTGAGAATCCGTTGATCAGCATTTTGTGCCTGCAATCGGTTTGTGTCACAGCTCACCTAACTATAAACTCTACAAGCAAGCAGTTGTTTATATTCATGAAACTTCTGCACTTCGAAGATTCCTGTTAAAAAAATATTAAGATGACTCAGATTTCGGTAATCAAAACGATTTTTAGATCAGAATATTGGACCAGATGTCTAAGTGTTTCTTATAGTTGAATATAAACTTAGCCATCGTACTATTAAGGATATTGTCATTCTACTAACAACTGATTTGTCTGTATAAATTTTCCATACAAACCTTTTACAAGATGTAAATTTAACAGAATGTAAGAGCATTAGTTATTTTTGAGCTTCAGCTAATGAGTGAATGGAGTTTTCATTACATTTAACCTTGATGTAGCCACACAGGAGGTGGTTAGCTTTTTATTGATACTGTGTATGGATTCCCTTGATATGCCGAAACATTGTATAGGCCTACATTAGCTCATTCTTCAAAATATAATCGTCCTCTGTAAGCTTTAAGCAGTTTACTAAAGATTCATGGATATAAGGTCTTATACCAAATCATCTCCTTGTCCATAATGTTCAGTCCTTATAATGTTTTTCTTGACAATGATGATCTCTAAAATACTCACGAAAGCATCTGTATTTTGAAAAACAGCATGAAAATGAACTAATATTTACAGTCGAACCAAAATCACACCATTTATTCCACACCCTAACAATTTAGAAAACTGTTAAATCTAAGTCGATTCTTGAATTTATTATTTGGTCATAGAACTCAGAAGGTCTGTATTACTCACAAAATTTACGTGATAACATAATCAGCTATAAATCTGCTTTTTTCTACTGTCTCAATGTATCCGATTGTGCAATCGCTTGGAGACTAAGTGGCAAATGATAGTTTTTTCATCCAAACGCTTAGACTTCCATGACGAACCGTGATGAATAAATCTGTTTCTACTGTCTCACTACAGTGTGTGATAAGAAAAACTCTGGGCTAATGAATAAAAACTTTTGTGTTGATTTACTTAACTTTGTTTATGATTGGATTTTTATTACTTTATTTCACATCTTGACTGAGTAACGTAAAATCTATCAATGATGATTGTTAACTTGGCAAGACATTCTTGAGGAATATTGGTAAGAATGTCAATTATTTTTACGCACAAACGTAGCTTTACTGGGAAACTAAACATTCTCTCTAACGAATGAGTGGATATTTTACTGAAATAAGAATTGCTTTTGAAGATGAGCCCTCTTTTTTATCACTCGGTTAAAAACACAGAAAAGCTTCTTATCCCCATATTTTACATATTCATTTTAAGAGTTTGACTAGGCAAACATAAAAATAACTACTTAGGTTTTCGGGATGTTCTCGCGTAAATATTAAAAGTAAAGCCATTTGTTATAAAAGAGAATGTTAATATTACTTTCTAATCACGTTATATCGGAACCAAGATTTGCGGCCCAAAATGGAGAACCAGCTTAACACTAAAGAATACTTTATTCAATACAATTACACACCGTGAGTCAGGAGTAGAAAGCAATGATAAAAAAGAAAATCACACATTTAACAGTCCGCAACCTGTGGTTGTTTGTCCACGCTCAACGACAAATCATATTTTACTCTCATTACCACACATCAGAGATGAACATTCTCACATTTTCGAACTAGTTTAATTTTGATTTAAGAACCAATAAATAATTTTAAAAAACTTGTGTGATCTGATAAGAAAAAAATATTTTGAAGTTGGTTAGTCTTCGTTTACAACCAAACAATCCCTTTTTTCCATGGAATTTCATCTATTACTGCTGAATCACACATAATCGAAGAAATAAATTTATTTGAGATTTAGGGTGTTTACATATGCCCTCGAATCTATAACTAAACATTGTTTTGTTAAGTAATCAAATTTCTTTTTTAGTTCTACTTTCTGTTTTTATTGGTTATTTCCAGCATTTTGATGAATGATTACAGTTACAAAATTCGCAGAAAATTACAAGATATTCAATGTCTCCAACTTCGACAAAAACTTGAAAAAGGTTCAAGAAAAACAGAAGCGTTATTATGCTACTATTTAAAATTCTTAGACAGTAATACATGTCTGTGTGTGTATTTTTTTTAAATGACTTTTATCGAATTCAACGGAAA